GGTATTTTTCTGCCCTAGCTGGCTTTGAACCACAATCTTCTGTCTCCTGAGTAGCTAGGATTACAAGTGTGAGCCACCAGCAATTGGCCTACCCTTTCTTTTGGTGACAATTTTTAACATATGATTTTATGGAGGCCTTAAAGACCAATGCATCTCTGAGGATTGAATGCATTGACTTTATCTGTCTACATAAAACATGTATGAGCATTCTACAGATATGATTCTGGAGAACTGTCTGAAAAAAATTTAGGGTTTAAATTCTGGAAAAGGGCACACTATTATAAGTGAGGTTTCAAGTTGATTATGATTTTAACATGAAACACTTTCTGGCTTCTTCAACTGAGGGAGTATGATGAGTCCTTTCTAGTGCAGCTTTACTTCTATGTAAGAAATTATGGTGTGTGGTATGGTGTCTTACACCTGTAATTCCACTCAAGAGGCAAAGATTGGGAAGATGGTGGTCCAAAGCTGTTCCTGGGTGAAAAAAGGCATGTGATTTACAAACACACAAATATCTAAAGGTTTTAAAAAAGGGCTGTGAGAGTGGCCCAACTCATCTCTATGATGAGTTCTAGCCAGGCAGGAAGGGTAGAGTGGTTATTGTCAGGAAAGTAGATTTCAGCATTTCAGTCTCCATAAGCTTTTCATTACTGAATGTGCATGTTCCAGCTCCAGAGGAGAAAAATCAGAAACGGACCATGCTAGCATACAAGTCTTGCTTTCTGCCATGTGAGCTCATTTGTGCAGAGATGAAACAGGATCAAGAATGCTCCTGTAAAATGGAAGAGTCTGAGAAAGTGATCCTGCCATGGCTTTGGAAAAACCAGAAGTTACAAAGGCAAAAGGAAAAAAGCCTACTTTCAGAGTCATTACTGTAGTAACCAATAGTCCTGAGACAGCATGAGGCTATAGGTTGAAAGAAAGTCAAAGGACAGTCATAGTGCTAGCTATTTCTGAGAAAGAGCCAAAACCACCCCATCATCAGACTTTTACTGGCAAAGTAGAGACTCATTATGTCAGTGTAGGAGGCAGAAAATGGTTATTTTTCTGTTGGAAAGCTCATAGGGAATCAATGAAACGCTTTTAGAGATGAAGTGGCTAAAGGGTGTGGGTGTGGTCTGAGGCATCTGCTAGACACTTGGTGTCTTCCAGCATTACAGTAGTGTTAAGCCATAGTACTCTTGCATGCAAACCCCCAACTGAAAACAATCCACACACCTGTACAGAACATATACAGACTTTTTGGCTACCATTCCCCAAACAAGACAGCGTGACAGCTGTTTCCATAGCACTTATACGGTTAAGATTTATAAATAACTTAGAGAGGAGGTGAGGTACACAGGCAGATGTGCATAGCTTATTGTGAAATATGACACCACTTTATATAAGAGACTGGGGCATCTAGAGAGTTTGGAATCTGTGTGGGTCCTGGAGCCCATCCCCCAATGGTTCTAAAGACCAATGAACTTGTTTTCCTCTTACTCCAATAGAAGACTTATCATCATCCTCAGGAGGATGCCTCAGGATATCCTTACAACCAAGGGCAGAAAGGTAGCAAGATATACCCTCTTACACATGAGTGGAAAACAGGAAGGTAACAGATAATTCCATGCATACACCTGCCCCCCGCTCTTCCCAATACAAAGGCAGAGGAAAGCTCACACCAGCTATCTGCCAAGAGACTATTTTTCACACACACACACACACACACACACACACACACACACACACACACACACACACACACACACACACACACACACCTCTTTCAATTTCCATGAGTTGACTGTTGAAATAATTTCAGAAGTGGCCTCCTTGCTGTGTCTTGCATGTGTCATTAGGATGGAAAATTAAAAACCTTTCTAGGTTTTTCACTTGTTTTGCATCCCTCTCCTGCCTCGCAGGACCCCTGCCTCCCTTTGTTTTTGGTGGTTATGGGGCTTGAACTCAGGGCCCAGCAGCTATCCCTGAGCTTCTTTTTGCATAAGGCCAGTGTTCTACCACTTTGAGCCACAACTCCACTTCCTGTATTCTGGTGGTTAATTGGAGATGAGCCTCACAGACTTTGCTGCCCTGGCTGGCTCTGAACCATGATCCACAGATCTCAGCCTCCTGAGTAGCTAGGATTTAAGATATAAGCCACCAGTGTCTGGCTTATCCTGAGTCTGCTTTGTATTCTGAATCTAGGCACACACAGAAGTGGAGATCTGGTATGATACTCATGAGGGCCTGAAAGGAGGGAGATGAACTAGTAAACTGAAATCTACTGATGTTTGTCACCAGCATGCTGAAAGTTAATAGGCAAGACCTGTGTGTGTGTGTGGAGAGACAAAAAGATAGGGAGATTTTTGCCCTTAAGAATTTTCTATCTATTAGGGGAAACAAAAGTTCTGGTATAAAACAGGCAGAGACACTAGGTTCTAATTCTGTCAGATTAGCCATGTGGTTGTCTAGGATGGGATTTTTCTTGTAAAATGAAGGCATGACACCAGGAGGTAAAACTAAGTAACAGAGTTAAATGTAATCCAGATACTCAGCACTTTCCCTATCCATGCTTCTTGAGTAGCTATGATCACACATGGCACTACAATGCCTGACTTACTGAGATGACATCTTGTCAGTGGTTTGACAGGGCTGGCCCGGAGCCATGATCTTCCTGATCTCTGCTTCCCGTGAAGCTGAGATTACAGAACAGACCAATCTATGTGGCCCTGTAACCAGCAGATCTTTAGGTCCATTACAAATGAAATGATTCCTGGCTAGATAAGTTTGCAACGTGTCTCTTGCAGCAGCACTAGATTGTACTTCATTTAAAGTAGCTGAGGTTCCCAAAGTCCTGCCAGTTAGGAACCTTTCAGACTTGGCATTCTAAGTTGGTATAACACTCAGCCTTTGCAGACCATGCTTTGGAAAATGGGTGCCCCCCCCCCCCCGGTTTAGGTTTTTAACTTTACTATCAGTATTTCTCCTTCAGGACTTCACTTCCTCCTTTGTCAACATACACTTACTCTTACATTGAGTTTATTATCTCTTTACTTTTCATGGCCTTCACTGTCAAGTTAAACACTATGTGAAAATAAAACAGGCTTGGACTGGAAGATCTACAAAATCCACACAAATCTCAAAAGTTCAAGGCTCTTTGAAAGCTATCACAAACCATTTTTTTTTTTTTTTTTTGGTGCTGGCCTGGGAGCTGTCCCTGTTTTTTTTTTTTTTCCTCAAGGCTAATGGTCTACCACTTGGCCACACCTCCACTTCTTGCTTTTTGGATAGTTAATTGGAGATAAAGTCACATAGACTTCTTGCCTAGGCTGGCTTTGAACTGCAATCCTCAGATCTCAGCCTCCTGAGTAGCTAGGATTATAGATATGAGCCACTGGTGCCTGGCTAAGATATATTCATAATCTGACATGTTGAATTGAAACCTCTTTGTGCAATTAAAAGGTAATTAAAATTTTTCACCAAGTATTCACTGAGGATTGAAAATAGGATGACAGAACCCACGCTGTCACACCATCAGAGTAATATAACGAGTCCTCTCGTGATGAGATTCAGCTTACTTGAGGTGCTTGCCTACAAGTTCAAGGTCCTGGGTCCCAACCCCAGAGTTTTTAGGAGGGGAGGGGAAAAGAGATGAGATTCTTTTTTTTTTTTTTTGGTTGGTCGTGGGGCTTGAACTCTGGGCCTGAGCACTGTCCCTCAGCTCTTTAGCTCAAGGCTAGTGCTCTACCATTTGAGCTGCAGCGCCACTTCTGGTTTTCTAGCGGTTTATTGGAGATAAGAGTTTCACTGACTTTCTTGCCCAGGCTGGCTTTGAACTGAGATCCTCAGATCTCAGCCTCCTAAGTAGCTAGGATTACAGGCGTGAGCCACCGGCACCCGGCTTCACCCATGTTTTTCAGCCTGAGTACCAGGCTTGAGGCTTAGGGATGTCAGCACAGCATGAACAAGACAGAAAACAAGAACCACCTTGGCAGGCAGGCACATGCCCAATGGTTTAGAAAAATCTGGGTTCTTTTTCTAGTGTATGATTGTATATTCTTTTTAGCTCTGTCCTCCTTTATTTTTTGGCCAGTCTTGGGGCTTGAACGCAGGGCCTGGACACTGTCCTTGAGCCTCTTTGTGCTCAAGGCAAGTGCTCTGCCACTTGAGCTACAGCCCCACTTCTGGCTTTTTCTGTGTATGTGGTACTGAAGAATCACCCCCAAGGCTTCCTGCATGCTAGGCAAGCAAGTTTCTACCACTAAGTCACATTCCCAGCCTGTTAGCTTCATTTCTATAGTTTTGAAAGATTATTCAAGAACAAGATACACACTAGAGGTGGGGCTTGCTCAAGTGACAAGAGCCCTTGCCTAGCAAGCATGAAGCCCTGGACTCAATTCCCAGTACTGCCTCCTCAAAAAGACATATACTGGTTACTTTTCTCAATTTCTCAGGTGTCTTATTCATTAGTAGCCAAAAAGACAGTACTAGCAAGCAAACTGGTAAGGAATGGAACCAGTTTTCTTCCATGGAGCTCACAGTGCAAACTCTTGGTACATCACTGGAATGAACAGCAGCACTAGTCCACTGTATGATTTTTCCTCTTATGTCCACTCTGGGATATGTATGGTGTGTACCTTATAAATAGGAAGGAACACAGCAAAGAAAAAGACTGTTGAAAGTTGTGTGTGAGAGGTCTTTGATGCAAGTAAAAAAAAGGCAGATACTGACAGAAAGAAGAATGGAATTCCTAAGGCTTGTATCATACATACAAGAGTAGTGACTGGAAAATCCAGTGTCATTTTGTAATTATTCCCTAAAGACAGTTAATATTGGGTTATAAGGGAAATTAATCCTAAAAATAAAATTACGAATGAAAACCCTGGGCTAGTTTTAGAGGAAAAAATAAAGCAATACTCTTCTTATTCTAACTTTCTGTAACACCTGGGAACGTTGCTGGATTGAAGTTGAATGAAAGCATCAGAACTACTCAAGAGAATCACTGCATGTACACAAAGTAGAGAATAAAATTTTAATAGTATCAAAAACAGAACTTCTTTTGGCCAATTTAGTAGTTGCTGAATAAAATTGCAAAATGTTACTCAGAAACTGACTTAGCTTCTAAATCGAGCCAGAATCACACTCTGAATATTACTTGAGTATATACAAGTACATCCCATGATCACATGCAGAGACACAAAACAAGAGCATTGTAAATCCAAAATCACCATCTCTGTTAATGAAATAATGAATTAGAAACAAACACACTGGTTCAGTAATTCAGAACATCTATTCTGAAAGGGGAGGGAAATTGAATGTTGCTCTTTCCAAGAATTCAATTTGTTTCCTCAATATGAAGAAAAGGAAGCAGATATATTCTTTTTGGGCATGGGAACATACTTTTCTTTTTACTCAATGGTATCAAATGAAAACGCTTCATGGGATTCCATTCTTTTAAGGTAAAATGGTCTCTTCACATTCCAGTGGTTGAGGAGGAATCCTTCCAGTTCTTGGGCATTTGAGTGTCACACCACCTACAGCAACATCTGTTCAAGTACCCTTAATGATACAGTCATACAACATGGGTTTAATTTTCCTGAGAACTAAATTAGACCTACAAAATAAACAGGTTATGAAAATGACCTGAGTTCCTAGGAATCTCTAAATTCAAGAGATTGCTTCAGCTTTGCTAAGATCTCATCAAAAGCCTTTTATAGCAAGGGTTTCTTAGTGAGTCATGTACTTGGTCATGGGGACTTAAGAATTTTTTAAACACTAAAAAGTGCTCTTTATGTTGTGCAAATTCAATGGAAGGCCAAAACAGCCAACAGTACTGATGGTGTGGAGTAGAACCTAGAAGCAAGCCAGTCTCTACTGCATTATTAAGAAAGGAGCAGGGGGGATGGGTGCCTGGCCAACGCTCCTCCCATCTGACAATGATTACTGGGAAGCTAAGAAATTCCGGGCAGAGCTGGGGGTATGGCTCAGGTGGTAGAGTGCTTGTGGAACAAGCACAAGGCTCTGAGTTCAATCCCCAGTACTGCCAGAAAAGAAATGATTTCTTCTTTGTGAGCTAAAGCTAAGTAAAGACAGCACCTTGAGTGGAACCTAGTGGACACCACTCAGAAGTGAGGGCTGCTTGTGGCAGAGATGGCTGCGTAACCCTGCTCCACGGAACTCTGAGTGAGGGCCCGAGAGCACACATGGAGGGTAACGCACGGGTTTCTTGACTGCTGCTTCACTTTCCGTTGTCCGCAGTGAGTCACCAGTCACTAAACATCACACGGAGGTCTGGCTTCAATCCAAGCTTTGCCATGTGATCTAACACAGGCACGAAACGTCTCGGTGCCTCGATGCATTAATGTGTTACAGGACAGTAACACTCATTTACTTACCTCTAGGAGCTAGTATACAGATTACTGAAGGGACACCTTAAAGCACTTTGAGCTCCTCAGATGAAAGCACTGTGGGGACAATGACACCAAGGAAGCCCTTGCAGCACCCCGCCGCATCGCTTCTGCTGGGTTCCCATGCTTTCTTCATCACATCAAGACTACATGTGAGTGGCACTCCAGTGCTTCATCTTAACTGTTTGGCACACAAATATGAATGCGTTTGAAATAGTTGTCGTATTTCCTATTCCAAAGGTGCTTTCTAATTTTCTAGTAAAGTTGATGAAATGTACCCTCTGTGGAGTACTCTGTCAAGCTTAGAAAAAATTTAGCTTTCTCTGAGGTACATATGACATAATAAAAAGTTCATCTTTATTTTAAAATAAGTGAACTAATGTGTGAAGCCACAAGTTTTTAATGAAAAAAAAAATACTGACTCTGCCACAGTGTCATATATTCATCTGAAGAGTACAAAGATGGAGAAAAGGGGTCTTCATCCTCTAGAAAATAAATGTGGTTCTTAAGTTTGTTCAAAGGAAACATTAAAAAATGTAATGTTTCAAACGGTGAAATAAAGCATTTAGTCAATAATAAATTATAAATACAGTAGTTCAATTATTGTTTTAGCATTAGACTTTTAAAACATTTAAAATCTGTTATAATCTCTCAAAAGAATTGTGGAAACTTTCATGGAAATCTCAACAATGATACCACTTGCAATCTTTAGCTAGGATCCACTGGACTGTTGCCATTGTGGACCTACAGTGGTTTAGGTTTATGTATGAGACTTCAAAGCATCAGTACATCTTTATACTCTGCAGAAATTAGGTAGTGATGGTAACTACACACAGTTCATCCAAACCTTCCTCACACCGGGTGTTGTTTCTGTGGTTGATACTCACTGCACTTTCTGTGCAGTGACTGATACTCAAAATGATGGAAACTATAAGTAACTTGTTTTAGACTGAAATTTTGTTTTCTTTTTTAAAAAATAAAGTGCTTTTAAATTCAAACATTTCTTTCCCTAAACAAAACTGGAACATACTTAATCCTGGAATCTCCATATCTTGACATACACATTTTAACAGAAAAAAAAAATCAGTTTTGGGCCATTAATGTCCTTCAAGAGTTCAGATTGGATCTAAATTGGGTTTTGCATCATTATCGTGCTCATGTTTATACATGAAGGTTAACAGAAAGAGGGCCACATCCAAAGATGACCAATAGGCAGTATGCGATGTGACAGCTGACCAATAGCGGCTCTCCACAAGGCCTTCTCTGAGCTCAAAATCAATCCTGTGATCCAATTCCACTGCAAAGAAAAGAGATTGAATAAGGATTACATTAAGATACGATGGTACAGATGATGGAAACAAATTTCTAATCGCCCATGCCCTTTTAGAGAGCATTTTTATTCTAATCTCATGGGATACTCTTTAAAAAGAGGCTTAGTAGCTCAGGAGTCCACTTCTTTGTCTGCTAAGCCAACAGGGAATAATAAAGAAGGAAAATTAGTACAGTGGCATAGTTCTGGAGGGAAACCCTCCCGCCAAAAACCTTAAGCTTAAATACTAGCATTTCCACCTTTGTGCTTAATCTGTTAAGGAAACACCACCCTTACAAATTATGGTCCAAGTTTGCAAAAGTAATGGAATGGAACAGATCACTCAAGACTTCCTAGTTAGGAGGCCCCTATATGCCAGCAGGTTCTGTGGTGGACTGTTTTAAGGACACCATCTTTTTGCAGTCCAAGAATATCTTCTTCATTAGGCTGAAAGTCCTTAAAGGTAACCGCCACACATACTTGCCTGAATCAATTCAGAGGGGTCTGACATGAGCTTGGGTTGTTCAAGTGCTCGTTAGATAGTTCACGAGAGCCCACTTCATGGTAGAGAAATTTAACCCAGGGGAATAGTGAATTCAAGTTAGTCTTTTCTAAAACCCACATAAGGTACCTGTGTTAGGGACTTTGACAAACCAAGGCTCTAAGAGATTTTTACTGGATTCATTTAATAGATTATTAGAAATAACACTTGCAAAATATGGTGGCCATGCCTATAATCTCAACATTCAGAAAGTAGAAGCAGAAGGACTGTAAATTTGAAGCCAGCTTGGGTACATAGTAGGATATTGCTTTAATGAAAGACATTTTGATCTTTAAGAACTGTCAATGAGCCAGCTCTTCCCCCTCAAGTTCTGTCCTCAATTGTTTGAGGACAGCACAGTTATAGGTCAAGTCCTTTATTCCAACAGTATTTTGTAGGGTCTACCTTATAAACAAGACAAAAATGCCCATAACACTACTAGATACTTGAAGTCTCTTCTCTGTTTGAAATGCGAAAGAAGTGCAAAATCCAGCAAAAATCAAGAAGGCTGGAGTGAAAAGTTGGGTTTTGCTTTTATGCTGGGAATTTGGCAGACACACATAGAAAATCCTATCACTCTAGGAAATAATACATGGGATTAGTTAATACAAATTTTTAAGCAGGTATTTTGTGGTAATACCACTTTGCAATTTGAAAATGCTTTTAGTTATTTTCTATTCAATTATGCTTCTTTGACGAAGAAGATTCAAGGATTTATCCATGGATTTTTAGGGGAGGTTTACATTAAAGTAATATAATGCCTATCTGGCTCTAATACTTATAGACTACAAAGGCTGTTTACAAACATCTTCTGACTACATTTATTTTTTCCCATAGTTAAAACAAGTTAAAAAACAAGTCAGAAATAGCTGGAATCCATTGGACCTGTGAGGTAAGAACTTCTAATCTTTGATATTTTTTCTTCTATGAAGCTATGCACTGGATTTTAGGCACATTCAATAATTACAACAGACTGGCAGATGAGAAAAGGAGAATAAACGAATTCTCACGCACAAGGAAGAGAAACCAAGAAGTTGCTTATAGGAAGAAAAGAGGAAACAGAAAAGAGAGTAACCTATGTTAAGGTTGGTAAAGATTTTGAAGAACTTTCTTTCCTAGTCTAAAACTATTCAGCTGAAACTTAATAGCCAGATTTTTCCTGTTATAACAAGTGTTAGTTGACGCACCACTTTGATCTTGTGTTCCAGAAATTTACTCATATTTAACATGCTACTGCCTTTAACACTGCCTTTCAGAGTGGACACTCAAGACATTAAATTACTTTCCTATTACATGCCATTATCATTTTTACCACCCACTGGGACTTTAATTATATTAACAAGACTGGCTCTCCCTATCCTTTTCCATCTGTCTTTGGTGGAACACATTGGAAAGAAATGAGATAACCAGCTTTTTCCTCATGAACCTGTTCTAGTCTTTCATCTCCCTTAAAAGGTTTACTTCCTGCAGTCTGGCTGTCAGTGCTGTTACCGCACATTTATGCTGGTAATTGGAAGGACAGGTGGAAAACTAGGTGGCCTGGTACATCCTCTTCTTCCTCTCTTCTGTGTGCATCAAGAATCCTTAAGAGAATTATGGTCTAAGGAGCAGCACCATTCTCTGTGTGATGTGAAATACACTCTTGGCCAAGGTTCAGATGTAATTAAAGCCTTTCCATTATTACGATACCAAAAGTGAACATGGGCTGGCAATTTTCCCACTTTAAGGACAGATGATGATAAATATTTTTTTTTCTTTTGCCTTCTTTCAAATGCAGAAATGCTAAAAGCTCTTCATCTACAAAGACAATGTGGTTCTTAAAAGTTTAAGAAAATTAAAGCTAAGAAAAGCTGTGGTTTAGACACAGACATCTGCTCTTTGCTTATACTAACATATATTATTTTCTTTCTCAGGAGTCATATATATGGCATATTTCCTTCCCTATTCCCCAAATCATTGTGTTGGTAATCTCTATACATGAAGGTGAGCCATCTAGTTAGTAATGCACTTTCGCTAGAGAATTCTGGGTATAGGGCTGGGAAGGTGGCTCAGTGGTAGAGAATTCTGGGTATGAGGTCTGTCAACATGGATATGAAACTGAAAATAACATACATGAATATAAAATAAGTGTCTTGATGAGTATAATATATACTAACTAAACATGTTTCTTTTTGTTTTTTTTTTTGCCGGTCATGGACCTGAACTCTGGGCCTGGGCACTGTCCCTCAGCTCTTCAGCTCAAGGTGAGCACTCTGCTGCTTGAGCCACAGCGCCACTTCTGGCTTTTTCTGTTTATGTGGTGCTGAGGAATTGAACCCAGGGCCTCATGCATATAAGGCAAGCACTCTACCACTGAGCCACCTTCCCAGCCCCCTGAACATGTTTCTTATATTTAATAGAAGCCTTTCAACCTTCCTGGACAAAAAATTTCAAAAATGTAGTGACTCTTATAAAACACCTTATTTGTAATTCTGGTCATAATTGTAGGACATTGGCTTTAGAAATGTATGTACTCGCAGAGGATAATGTATGCTTCTAGATGATTTGTGATTCATTCAGAAGAAAGATGATTCAGTATAACTTAGTTCTGTCTTGCTTCAGAGCAGCTACACTTCTGATATGGCTTGGTATTGGAAAAGGAATATTCACAACTTGTGAATTATCATTGTTCCAAAAATATTTAACAACATTCTCTAACTATTCTTCACTTAAAATAGTAACAAAAAATTCCAAAATACATTTTATAATCAGGTGTCATTTCTGTCAATTTTATCCTTGAAGATACCCATGTTTCAAATAGCTGATGACTGATGAGCGCTGTATCATAAAAAACTTCAGAAAATGGCCACTTTTGTTAAGACCCTCTACAATCTGGTCTAACATTTCCAATAACATTCAGAACTCTTCCCTTCCACTTCTCTGAGGTTCTTTTCAAGTAAACTTAAGAGTTTTTCTTATCACACAGGCATTAACCCCTGTGGTCCTTCTCCCTGCAATATCTTTTCATCTTTAGAAGTCTACATCTCAATTATTTTATGGTGTGAAAGCAATTTGTCAGGTGAAAGCAATTTCTCATTCCTCAGAACTGACAAGTCTTTTCACCTGGAACTCTGTTATATGGCTCATACTACCATACAATGATATAATTATCTTCCTTCTCTACTAGAACATATGCTCCCTACGAAACATTTAGTTTCTTAGTAACTTTATGGGCAGTACTGAAATCTATGTCTTCTCGGTATCTTTTCTAGTGACAACCATGGTATATCTTGACACATGAAAAACATTTAATAGAGTAACTGGATAAGTCAAACAAGGAAAGAGCAAATGAGAGCCATATCAATTTTGCCAACTGAACCTTCTGGGTGTAGATATGCTCTGTGGTCTAACTGCTAGGGTGTGAGGATGACTTGGAAATGTAAGGCTGGTTTACTGCAGGAGAAATATATGAGAAGATTAAGTTCCCTTCTCACTGAAAATGAGTTCAGGGTTAGCCTGGGCTAACCTTACATAACCTTACATAAAAGAACGAAAACCCCAAACTAATACCATGTCAAAACAACAACAAATATTATCAAATAAACTTTATAAATTTAATGTAGTTAAAATATCCACAGAAAACCCTGAAAAACTTTTTCTCACTAAAGATAAATTCTACTATTAAAAATAGGAGAGAGAAGCTGTGAAAAAAAGTTATTTATGGCAGGGGGCCGGTGGCTCACACCTGTAATCCTAGCTACTGAGGAGGCTGAGATCTGAGGATCACGGTTCAAAGCCAGCCCAGGCAAGGAAAGTCTGTGAGACTCTTATCTCCAATAAACCACTCGAAAACCAGGATTGGCGCTATGGCTCAAGCTGTAGAGCACTCGCCTTGAGCTGAAGAGCTGAGGGACAGTGCCCAAGCCCAGAGTTCAAGTCCCACGACCAACAACAACAAAAAAAACCAAAAAAAATTATTTATAAAAACAAATTTAAACTGTTAAGATTAATCCTTAAGAAATTGGGGATTTAGATGAGTAGAATCCAAGACCTTGCATGCCATTCTCAACACTAATTAAAAAAGAATTAGTCCTTTGGTCATACATTTAAAGTAGGCTAAAACTAGAAACATGGAAAATACCTTTCATATCTAATAATACTATTTCTTAAAGTAGATTTATCCCCATAAAGTACATTAAATATTTGTATTGGAACCAGTTATCAGCTATAAAAAACCTGTAACCCTAAGTGTTAATATTTGAAATGACTTGAAATGAGGTTTTTTTTTTATATTGTTAAGTATATTACATTTAAAGAATAATGAACCTCTTTTTGAAGCCTTTAGGAAAATAAACTGGCCTAATGCCTTTCTTGACTCTCTAAGGTTCACTCTTAGTAGAAAAATACTTGAGGATCATATATTTTAGCACATTAAATGGCTATTTTATATAAAAACTGATCCAATTTTTTTTAAATGAGCAGAACTCTTAGATTTTTTTTATAGTGTACTGAGTGCTATTCCTAACATATACCATACCGAGGCTATTATCTTTATTCTGCATTACATTTTCCGGAAAAAGAAGTTGTGGGAGATAATAGAACGATTCTTGAAGTCTGAAATCTGTGAAAACAAACAAACAAACAAGATGCTGTAAAGATGAGGCTGATGGTTAAAAATGGCCTTCAATGCTGCAGTGGCCAAATTTTAGAATAATATATTTCTAATTAAGCTGTACAGTCCTGCTGGAGGCATGGTTAGAATCCTTGCCTAGTAACCACTAAACTCTGGGTTCAAGCTCCAGTATTGCCAAAAATGTATACTTTTTTTTTTTTGTGACAAGCTCTTTCATGGAAAATGTAAGCATAATTAAACTTAGAAGTATATATGTTATAATCTGTTAATACCTAGATATTTCCTAAATTTGCTAATTTAGTCTTAACCCAGAAGAAAATGATGCTGAAAGAAACATGTCCCTCCCCCACCCTTAATATGTTATAGACAAGGGCATAGGAAATGAAACCTTAAACTCTCTGAAACTTTTCAAGAGAAATGAAGACTAGTTACATAAGGCATACCAACTTGATGAAAATAAAGAAGAGTTCAACTGAAAGAGTGAAAGGCTGACTGATCATGAAGGCATAGCCCATGTCCTCCTTAGCCTCAGATAGTGAGAGAATCAAGACAGTGGCTCCAGAGTAGGGGATATCCAGAACCGAGGGAATCAAAGCTGAGTTGAGGAAAGAAAGGAAGGAAGGAAGCCAGTCACCTAGTCACAATGACCAAATTTCCTAAGATGATTTAAGGCAGAACAGTGTTATGATTTTTAAGATATAGTCAAGATAGAAGTTATGATATAAAGAATTCATCCAAGAGTTACAAAGAAGAATATATTATTGAAGCAGTAAAATAATTAGTATAGCAAATCTTGAGGATTTCGTTTAAATTGCAAAAATTTACTAAAGCAGGAATACAATTTTAATAGCTATAGCTCAGTCTGGCCACATACACACACACACATATAAAACAAAGACATGATCAGCTCAGATTTAGTTGAGACCATAGTTGACAAATTTGTCATTAGGACTAGCGAATAATTTACATGCACGAATGAGAGAGGATATGGCAAGGGGTATAGTTCAATGGCCCAGTACTTGCCTAGTATATACGTTTTGTGAAGATTAGATCTTCCACTACTACTGTTCTAGGAAAAACAGCTTTTGATATTATCATTTTGGAATTAATATAATAGCAAGCAAAACAAGTTTTCTTCCGTCAGACCAAGAGATTCTATATGTGTTTTCATTATTCTTTTTCTGGAGCTCAACTCCTTATTGTGCTCTTTTTGCTCTCTCAATTCTATTGCTTATCAGTATCACTGCTGTATATTAACAGTATTACAAGAAACTATCATTTTTAAACTGCTACCCTATAAAATTCTTTCAAGTTACTTTTCCTCAGAAGTTAAGGCTTTGACATCTACATGTCTCTGCAGAATTTTACATATTCACAATCCTACTTTTAATATGAAATAAAATGAGAACTTAAGTCAGTAATAGTATGGAACTCATAGAAAAACAGATTTATACAAATATCAAAACCTAAAAAGATGCTTGGTTTGGTGGCTTATGTCTGTAATACTAGCTACTCAGAAGGCTGAGAACTCAGGATGATATGGTTTGAAGTCAGCCTAGGCAGGGAAGTCCGTGAGACTTTTATCTCCAATTATCCACCAAAACTTGAGCTGTGGCTCAATTGATAACTTTGAGCAACAAAGCTTAGGGGCAACATCTAGACTCTTGAGTTCAAGCCCTAAGACTAACACATATATACATACTGAAGTCTAAAAAGAATTTTCCACATAGTGTTTAGATACTAAGATCAAACTGTTACTGGCAATCTAGGAATGCCAAACCCTTCCTTATGAAAGAACTAGCCAGCCTCTAGAGCTGTAACACCTAAACTTACTTCCTTTATAGTACACTTTTTTTTTTTTTTTTGGTGGGTCTTAGGCTTGAACTCCGGGCTTGGGCGCTGTCCCTGGGCTCTTCAGCTCAAGGCAAGTGCTCTATTGCTTGAGCTACAGTGCCACTCCCGGTTTTCTAGTGGTTTATTTGAGATTAAGAGTCTCACAGACTTTCCTGCCGGGGCTGGCTTTGAACTGCGATCCTCAGATCTCAGCCTCCTGAGTAGCTAGGATTACAGGTGTGAGCCACCGGCACCCGGCTATAATATACTTTATGGATAGTTGGATTTCAAAATTTAGAGTAGCACACACAGTATGGAGACAATGCCATAAAAAACTAAAATCTATTTGAACATTTTTAGTGATAGTTTCCCTCTTGCTATAGTTACAGAGAGGGAATAGCTAGTTTTGCAATGTTTCTTCTCATCTGTCAATAGAAAAGCTAAGATTTTACACATTAGTTTTATTTTATTAGACATTTTAAAATAACGCCTACACTTAGAAGTAAACACATACTAAAGGTACTAGTGTTTCACAGCTATCCAAGATTTTAAATTTTGTAAGTTCATTGGGGAAAAATTAAAGTTCTATTCTAATGCTAAGTTTAGCTTAATTATCCAATCACTTCCTCATCTCTTGAACACCTACTTCACACGAGATAGCTGGGATAAGATGAAAAACCAAGCAGTAGACCTAGAATTGCTAAGCTTTGAAAGTCTTATAGGCTGGGTGAAGGGAGCTGTGGGATTAGTATAGGACTGTTTAAAAAGTCTCAGGACTACAATTAGCATAGATATGAATTATATGAGAAAACCAGGGGGCACTTACCCCAAATAGATTTTACTTACTCTTGGTATTTTAAACCTTTTATATCATAACACCTTGATTTAATTATTCATTCACAAATGCAAAATGGAAACAGCATTTACCTGCAAAGTTTTTTTTTTTTTTTTTTGTGGGTCCTGGGGCTTGAACTCAGGGTTTGGGGCTGTCCCTGTACTCTATTTTTTTTTTTCCCCCTCAAAGTGCTCTATCACTTTGAGCCATAGCACCACTTCTGGTTTCCTGGTGGTTAATTGGAGTCTCATGAACTTCCCTGCCTCAGCTGGCTTTGAACAGTGATCCTCAGATTTCAGCCTCCTGAATAGCTAGGATTATAGTTATGACCCACCAGCACCCAGCTCTGGGAAGGATTCTTAAAAAGTAGTAGTTTTTTCCCCCTCTTCATCTTTAAAAGCTAACATTACAGGGGACCAGTGGTTCATACTGGTAATTTGAGCTACTCAGGAGGCTGAGATTTGAGGATTGTGATTCCAAGCCAGCCAAGGTAGCAGAGTCTATAAAACTCATCTCCAATTAACCAGCAAAAAGCTGGCAGTGGCTCAAGTGGTAGAACACCAGTCTTGAGTGAAAAAGCCAATGACAGCACCCAGGCTCCAAGTTCAAGTTCCAGTATGGAGGTGGTGGTAGGGCATAATAACATATACTTCAGATCTGAGACTTGACTGCAAGTATTGATATCTTACATTATCTTGCCTTTAAGTTTTTTTTTTTTTTTTTTTAAAAAGAACATATGAACTAACATGCAGAATCAAGAAAGCCAGAACTGCTATGTGGAAGGGTCTGGGTTGCCACAGTGGTAGTAGGAGGTGAAGAAATTGGCTTCTTCTCGTCTTCCATTGACTCTTTTGATGGGTCAGATGGCTGTGATGTGGATGAACGTCCAAATCTTGAGAACAACATTCCTCCAAGTCCCTTTCCGATGCTAGCAGCCCCTGCATTTCACAAAACAGGGTAGTCATTCTGCTGAATCACACCACACTCCAAGCTGAAGAGCACACCCATAATTACAGCCAACTGGCAGAGGAGCTAGGCCCTAGTCATGTTTTTCCAGGGTGGAGACATAAGAAAATTATAATTTATACTGTAGGTTTCTAAATAAAAAGTACTGAAAAGAGGGAAAGTTGTATAAACTAAGAATACAACTTATAAGAATATACAATCAAGGAGTGACAGGAGGCACTGTATTCGTAACATGGTTTGTTGAATGGCAATCCCTTTGTACACCTACTTAAATAAAAATATTAAAAAAATACAAAGGAATAGATGTTATTCTACTTAAGTGATCATTGTTATTGAGTTGAAATATTTAGCAAGATTAAGACCTCTGATAAAAGAACCATGTTACTTACATGGGTAAATAGCCATTATTGATACATATAATTACTATTAAAGTTGAGTGGACAGGTTGAAAAAAAAAAAAATCGAAACCACCTCCGAATGTGGAGTGAAATAGTGCCATCTTGAGGCATTTTATGTAAAGGCAACTTGTAACCAAAAGGCAAGGACAAATTCAAAGGGCACATTTTTCCAGTGACATGCCAAACTTTGTGCTCGTGCTCTAAAGACCACTCACAAAGAAATGAACTATATTTTCTGTCCTAGGAAGCACAATGTCTGAGAGACTTTTAGAACAGATCAAAGAACTGTGTGTGTGGGTACCTTTAGAATACAGGCCTGGCTCTCTCTCATAGGTGAGGAGGTAAAGCATTATTTAAACAACAGAACTTGCCTAAGATCTCCCAGTAAGGGGAAGGGCTAAGATTAAAATAAGGGACTTGATGCTCAGAACAATGCCTTGCCTGTTCTTCCTGATTTTTCACATCTGAAACTGGAAGACCTCATCAGATAACCTTTAAAAGTTCTTGGCCCTTGACTATGAACAAGCAGAGAATAATTAATCCTCGGAGACTAACTGTTGGAAGTTTGGTAATGGAGTATCTCCAACTCTGCCACATGGAGTATGTACACATAGTCAGGGAAGGAACAGTGAAGAGAAATTACCTAATATGCTTGCTTTGCCTATGTTAGTTATGGATTCTCCATAGTGTCGGCGTGGTAAAACTGGTGAGGTCACAGGGCTTGGTATGGTTGAGATGCCTTCATTCTCTGAAACTGAGGTAGATTCTTTTGCTGGGTTGAGAAAGCTTGGCTTCATGTGCTCATAAGGTAGGGGATTTGAAGTATTGTACCAGTGGATCTGGACAGGTGAAATGTTGCTGTAGTGTTTCAATATTAATGGTTCTAATCTATAAGCCTTGATTTAAAAAGAATTCAAAGAAACACAACATTAATGCACAATGCTTGGATTTTGGTAAACTGCTCATTGTCTATTCTACTGTATGCTAAGCAGAACTCAGAGAGGGAATTTAAAAATGTTTAAAAATGTTTAAAAATTTAAACATTCCAAACACGTACTACTAGTTGTTCACTGCTAATAATTTGTAGTTGGTCTAATTCCATATCCTTGATAATGAGATCATTATTGTTTTTCAGAGGAAGATAATTTTTATGATGTTCTTCTATCATCTAACAATTAGATTTATGTCAACCTCATAAAGCTGACATAGTAAATGGTGGTCTGGAACACAGCAATTTTTAATATATTAATTTCTTATTAAATCCAGTTTACAGATAGATCAATATGGGGACAGCATTAATCAGCTGTGAACAAAAGCCCTCTTGGCTACTGTGAACAGGGATGACACAGAAGGAAAGGCAATGTTTTGATTCTGTTCTCTATCACTGATCAACTGTTTGGTGCTTGTTAGCATTCTGGCTCTTGTGGGATTTCAGGAAAAACAGATGATTTTGGTAAAAAATGCCTTGCACAGTTCTGACAAACTATTTAAAAAGCATTAGAAAAAACTGCAGGGGCTGAGGGTATATCTCAGTGGTTGGGTGCTACTGTGTGCAGAGCCGTAGGTTCAACCCTCAGCACCAAACAAACCCAAGAAGGCACAGAATTCACCTCTGAACTCAAGTTCACTCTCAAGTTAGGAGAAAGGATTTATAAAATGCCAAGACTGTGTAGTTGCATTTTTATATAACAGCCTATCAGAATTCTATTTGAAATTTATTTCCAGTTCTTTGATTCCAGTTGAATTATCTCCTTTCCTTTCTATTCCCTCCTTCCATCTTTCTTTTCTTGTGATATGGTGCTAAGGCCACACTTGAGCCAACCCCCTAGTCTTCTTTGCTTTATCTTTCAGGCAGGTTTTCATGCTTTTCCCTTGGTCCAGCCTTGGGCTGCAAACCTACATCTTCCTCCCATGTAACTGGTATCATTTATTGAGAGGCAGGTCTTGTTAACTTTTTTGCTCAGGTTGTCAACCTTTCCATCTCTGCTGCCTGTGTAGCTGGAATCACACAAGCCTGCAAAACCAGAACCAGCCAGTTTTCTTCCTCAATTTGGAAGTTGTGAGTCTTTAAAATTTGAGTAGTTATTCAATGTTATACTAGCTAAAGATGTTTGTAAAAACAGGGGCTGAGTATATACCTCAGTGGTTGAATGCTAGCTAAAGATCTTTCAAAAGACTTTAATTATAATAAAAGCTACTTTTCAGAAAATTTACACTTTGCTCCCATATTTATCTACCTACTGACCTATGTACCTATCTACCTATCTTTGTCATACTAGGGAACTGAACTCAGGGTTCAGGGTACGCATGTATTTTAATCACTGAGATAGAACCTTTTCTCCAAGCATTTTTCTTGTCTTAAGAAAAAAAAAAAAAACTTACTTGCCAGGGACTGGTGGCTCATGCCTATAATGCTAGCTACTAAGGAGGCTGAGATCTGAGGATCATGGTTCAAAGCCAGCCTGGGTAGGAAAGTCTGTGAGACTCTTACCTCCAAATAACCACCAGAAAACCAGAAATGGCGCTGTGGCTCAAGTGGTAGAGCACTAGCCTTGAGCTGAAGAGCTCAGAGACATCGCACAGGCCCAGACCAAAAAAGAAAAAAGAATCTAACAAACAGTAAAAAAAAGAAACTTTTAAATAGTATAAAATTTCTGAAAAGTAGCTTTTATTTATGTAAAGTCTTTTGAAAGATCTTTAGCTAGCATTCAACCACTGAGGTATGCCCTCAGCCCCTGTTTTTACAAACATCTTTAGCTAGTATAACATTGAATAACTACTCAAATTTTAAAGACTCACAACTTCCAAATTGAGGAAGAAAACTGGCTGGTTCTGGTTTTGCAGGCTTGTGTGATTCCAGCTACACAGGCAGCAGAGATGGAAAGGTTGACAACCTGAGCAAAAAAGTTAACAAGACCTGCTGCTCAATAAATGATACCAGCTACATGGGAGGAAGATGTAGGTTTTTGCAGTCCAAGGCTGGACCAAGGGAAAAGCATGAGAACCTGCCTGAAAGATAAAGCAAAGAAGACTAGGGGGTTGGCTCAAGTGTGGCCTTAGCACCATATCACAAGAAAAGAAAGATGGAAGGAGGGAATAGAAAGGAAAGGAGATGATTCAACTGGAATCAAAGAGCTGGAAATAAATTTCAAATAGAATTTGCCTGTTTATAGCTGGATGCAAGATTCCTGAAGTGCTTACATTTAAAAACATTATTTACAACACAAATATAAAAATTCAGTATTCAACACTCATACTGGGTTAAAAGTTTTACCTTTTCATGATTAATATGTGGTATCTGAATATATTCATTTTAAAAAGGATTCTTCAAACATTTTAATACGGTGGTATGTTTTAGAAAACAAAGTATTTCAAGCAGAATTTTAAGACTTAAGGTTCCTACCATTACTGGTATTAAAGCTGGCAAAAGTTTGGGAATTGAGGAGACTCCTGATTTTTTTTTGATTAATCCTGGGATAATAATTCTATATTATGTTTAATGTTACATATGCAACATAAACATTATCTCTAAGGTATTTTATTTAATGAATCCTAGTAAACCAAGATACAAGTGTTTTAAGAACACTAACTTCTGCAAATAAGTCAGACTCATTAATTCAATGGGCCCTGGCATAGATTTTCAGGAACAAAAGAACATTAAGGAAAAAAACCCCTATATTGCAACTTACCACTGGATCTGTAGGATGAAAAATGTTTAGTAACCGATTACAAATCTCTCTAGGCAAAATATGGTCTTGATTTCCAGAGTTTCCTGGTCGAATGCCACGCAATGCCAAAAAGACTGCTAGTGGGGATCCCATACAGAAGAAATTCTCAACCTGAAGTGAAAAGACATCACATGTTATTTTTCATTAGGATCATGGAATAATATGTTTTAAAAGATGAAAATACAATTATCTCTAAGTATATTAGACTATGCCTATATGATATCTGCATTGTTTGAGTATATGCCAACTAATCATTCTAAAATAATCTATTTCCACGAAAAGTTTTCTTTCTTTTTTTTTGTGCTGGCTGTAGAGCTTGAATTCAGAGCCTGGGTACTGTCCTTCAGCTTTTGTGCTCAAGGTTAACACTCTACCACTAGAGTCACAGCTCTACTTCCAGCCTTTTGGAGGTTAATTGGAATAAGAGCCTCATAGGCTTTTCCTGCCTGGGATGGCTTCAAACTGCAATACTCAGATCTCAACCTCTTGAGTAGTTAGGATTGCAGGAATAAACAACTGGCACCCAGCAGAATTTCATTACTTTCAAGCCATGAGAAGTTGAAGAATAAGGAGGGAAGGATGATAAGAAGAAAACACATTTCATAGTGTGTTTCTATCCATCAATCAAAGATTTACTGAGCTACCACTTTTAGAAAAAAAGTTTTATTTATTGGTGCATTGTTTCCTGGAGATACCAGACCAATGCACGGAGTAGACAGAGTAAGTTCCTGAGCTTTGTGTGAATATGCTAAGTGTTGTAATGGGTAGGGACTAGACTAGTAAGGTAGAGCCTCATAAATTTACAATTGGGGGTGGTGGGGAGAAGGCGAAGAAGAGTGCACACCAGAGGGAAGGAGTGCTATAAAGGAATGGTAAAAGGAACACTTCCACCTGACGGCTTTTCAGAGAAGGCAGCATTTGCAGTTGTCAGCATGAAATATAAAGAATTTCCACAGCTGAGACTAGAATACTAGAATGATAGACTAGATGGACAGACTCACATGAAAGCAGGAAAGCATATGGCTTATTACTTTTACTGTTTTTTGGTGCTAGTCTTGGGGCTTGAACTCAGGGCCTGGGTCTAGTACAGTACCATGAGCTTTTGTGTTCAAGGCTAGTGCTCTATCACTTGAACCACAGGTCTACTTCTGACTTTTTGGTTGTTAATTGGAGATGAGAGTCTCATGGACTTATCTGCTCGGGCTCGCTTTAAATCTCGATCATCAGATCTCAGCCTACTGAATAGCTAGGAACACCTGTGCATGGCCACATGCACACTTTTCTTTTTTCTTTTTCTTTCTTTTTCCGGTCATGGGCCTTGAACTCTAGGCCTAGGCACTGTTCCTCAGCTCTTCAGCTCAAGGCTAGCGCTCTATCATTTGAGCCACAGCTCCACTTCCAGTTTGCTGGTCATTTATTGGAGATAAGCGTCTCACAGACTTTCCTGCCCCGGCTGGCTTGAACCACGATCCTCAGATATCAGCCTCCTGAGAAGCTAGGATTACAGGCATGAACTATCAGCGCCTGGCTCACATGTACACTTTTTATCTAACAAAATTCTTTATGAATTCACTGGTCAGACACTAAATTCTTATCTTCACAGAAGAAGCAAATTTTCTTTGTGGTAAAACTGTAGTTTGAGGAACACACTCAATGAGGTAATGACTGAGCTTCAGTAATGTTTACAGCTATCAGGATTTTAAAGGTAAAAAGGAAACTTAGATGTTTAGTCTAACCCTTTGTTTAGAGATAAATGAACAAGTGAATTCAGAAATGTTAAATGATTTGACTACAGTTAGAGCAATGCATATGGAGCAAACAGAAGTTTCCCACCAGTTTTTTTGGGGGGCGGGGGGGAATTGAAGACAGGAAATTGAACTTAATACCTGCTGCTTTCGTCCATTGGCTAGTGCTCATATCAATTGAGCCATGCCTCCAACCCCAAGTTTCCACTTTCTACACTAAAGCTTGTTAGTATCTCCCTCTTTCTTCCCTCCCTCCTCATTTCCTTTCTGTGAACCCCTCTTGGTGGCAGTGAGGCTGGAAATCAGGGTCTGGGCACTGTCCCTTAGCTTTTTCACTCAAGGCTGGAGCTTTACTCTTTAACAGTTCCACTTCCAGTTTTTTGTGATTTAGTGAAAATAAGTCTCACAGACTCTGTTCTGAATGGCCTCAAACTTGGATCCTCAGACATTAGCCTCCTAGTGCCCACCTAAACCAAACTTTTTGCCTAGGCTGGTCTAGCACTGATCTTATTCTGACCTCAGCATCCCAAGTAGCCAGAATTACATATGGGTGTGTGCTACAATGTCCAGCTTCTTCTCTTTTGAGAATCAATGATCAATTGTTATAGAGCTAACACCTGTACTCTGAAAGTCAATTCATTCTTGGCAACTGGCATGGAATAACTTGTTTCCTTTAGAACTCTGGAGTTCTAAATATGATTTGACAGTTCATTAGATTTCTGTGTTTTCTCTAATAATTTAAACTCATGTTATACAACATGTGATTATGTATGCATCAGAAGGACACTCAAGTACAGTGCATAAGTTCTAGTTATATAGTATTCAATTCTGACATAGCAATACACTTACTGGGACATACCTAACACTTCAGTAAAAAAATCAGAACACAAAATAGGAGATTTTACTTCTTCTATCAGATCACTTCTATACAGTCTACTTTGATCACATAATGATGGTAGCAGAGATCTAACTCAAATTCTATGTCAGGAAAACCTCAAAGACCAACTTCTTTAAAAGTCTGTTACAACATTATCATATAGCTTTTAAATATATGTTATTAGTTAAAAGAAAAACAATTCTGTAAGCTCTAGAGACAGAATCAAAGCAATTCTGTTAATTTTTCTCCTGGGGCTAGGAAAGTGCAAGTGGTAGAGGGCTTGCCAATTTGGTCCCCAGAACTGCCACAAGTTTTTTGTTGTTGTTGTTCATTTTTTAACCCTGATCAAACTGGTGGCACACATCTACCTTGGAGGCGGATGCAGGAGGATCCTTAGTTTGAGGTCAGCATAGGCTACCTACCAAAGGCTTATCTCAAAGATTAACTTTGTGTGTGTGTATGCTCGACCTGGGACTTCTCAAGGGTTGGGCATTGTCCCTGAGCTTTTATGGACAAGGCTAGAGTTCTACCATTTTAGCCATAGCTCCACTACTGGTTTTTCTGGTGATTAACTGGAGATGAAAGTCTTACAGAATTTCCTACCCATGCTGGCTTTGAACTGAAATCTTCAGAACTGTCTCCAGAGTAACTAAGATTATAAAGTATGAGCCACTGGCACCCAGCTCATTTTCCCTCTTTACCTGTACATTAAATTTCACTGACAGCAGTAGATTCCTAGAACAAGTAATTCAGTACCATAGAGCCATACATAGGTTTCATTTGGAAACTTATGACATCTTTATGTAGTCAGTTTATACAGCTACAGGAACATCCTTACCAAGAGTGGGCATTGTTGACCACTCTGCACTTTAGATTTTCCTAAACTATTGGTTTCAAAAGGCTATTTTGGTACACTACCCATATTTCAATCCTATTTCTTATTTCTATTTACTCCTGCTCTCCCTCAGACTCCTTATTGAGTCCTGAAAATTCCAGCCAAACTGACCCAAGTTGGGTCAGTATTTTTGATTGAACTGTGAGCTTTCCATCCTAGAATCATTGCTGATCTATTTCTTTTTTTATGCCACTGACGAAAACAGTATTTTCTCAACTTTTCTTCCTCCATACTCCAGATTACTACTATGAAGTACAATCCTCCATATCTGGTTTTATACTGTTTTTACACAGACAGTATTTCTCCTTTCTTTTGCTTGGCCAAATTTAATCTACTTAGAACAAGGGTCCATGCCATTTCTTTTTTTTTTTTTTGAGTCCAGTTGTGGGGCCTGAACTCTGGGCCTGGGCGCTGTCCCTCAGCTCTTCAGCTCAAGGCTAGCGCTCTACCACTTGAGCCACAGCACCATGTCCGGCTTTTTCTTTTTGCTTATGTGGCGCTGAGGAATCGAACCCAGGGCCTCATGCATGCAAGGCAAGCGCTCTACCACTGAGCCACCTTCCCAGCCCCATGCCATTTCTTAAACTTTCCTTGCTCACACACATATCATTATGTGTGGCTACTGGCACTTTATAATACACTATTCCATGTCCCCAGGGACAAAGTGCCATTTTGTCCATTCTTTTCTTTGCAGAACTAAGAAAACAGTGTCCAATACACAGTAAGTATTCCATATCCATTCATAAATAAACTTCAATTTGTACCATAAATCACATTTAAATACTCAAGGAATATGGAGATAATGAAAATTGCATCACTTTTTCCTTACCTTAAATTTTAAGGCAGGTGCTTGTGTTATGGATGAGGCCTTCAATCCATGCAGACGTTCTTCTATTTCCCTCAGCCTAGGAAGTGGTATGAGATTACACACAGGTATATACTGATCACAGTACATTAGATGCTTATTAGTTTACAAAGCATACTAACCCCTACTCTGACCCCTCTTTAAAATTTTTTTAAATAAATGCACATGCTGCACCATATAGTGTACCAAATAAAACACTCCTGTCACCTGTCTTTTCTTCTTCCAGTGCTAAGGATGAAACTCAGAGCCTGAGCATGCTAAACAAATGATCTACCTACATTCTTAGCCTGGCATTTTCTTCTTTTAGTAAAAAAGCTTTTTAGTGGAATATTAGGTAAGCATCTATATACTTTTAAAAATGACTTGCGGGGTGCTGCTATTTCATGCCTACTTGGGAGGCTGAGATCTGGGAATCACAGTTTGAAGCCAGGCTGGGCAGGAAACTCCTTGAGACTCTTATCTTCCATTTTACACACACACACACACACACACACACACACACACACACACACACACACACACACACACACACACACACACACACACACACACACGAGAAGTAGAGCTGTGACTCAATTGGCAGAGCACTAGCCTTTAGCACAAAAGCTCAGGGTCAGTCAGTACCTAGGCCCTGATTTCAAGCTCCAGGATAGGCACAGGCACACAGGTACGTACAGATGTATACATACACACGTACACACACACACACACACACGACACAAAATGATTTATTCTTGGTGACTTTTTAAAGCATCTTTTCCTTTCCTATAATAATTAACCTTAAAGATCTTTTAATGTCACTGCCTACTGTAATTTTTACAGCAATGATTACTTGTCCAACATACCACAGATCAGTTTAACCTTCTCTGGTGATGAATACTTGTGTTGTTTCATCTTTTACCTCATTATAATATTCTGTATCTTACATTTAATAAACATGAACTAATTTAAAAAATTAGCATCTTTAATACTGCTCTGAGGTTTGGTAAACATGACATTTTCTTTCAAAACTAATAATTTTGTTATATTTTTGTTATATGTCTAGCTTACAGAATCTAATAAATGAGATTCTTAGACAACTTCTCTAATACTAGAAGAAAATCAAAGACTGTTAGTCAACTAACTCAGTTGTTTTCATACAATGCTAAACTACTTAAAGGAGGGAAATACATTGTTTTATCAGAATTGATGAAATGATCTACTACTGAGAGGAAAAGAATTGTGCCACAGAAAATCAATCAAGATAGGAATATGGCCAAGAATTACAAGATAGTTCTAGAAAGGCAACAATAATCAAATGTTTATAATTACATAACATACAATTACATTTACATACAACATACAATAAAACACATTGGTCAAGAAATAAAAAGAGGTTTTAAAATTATTTTCAAATAATAATATAAAGGTAGAGGTCTTCTTTTAAAGATCAATACACTATAAGTGATTGTAAAGTGGTAAACATTTTCAGTAAAAGTTCTGCACAGACTCAGCTTGGAATTAAGTTTTAGATTTCACTCCTAACTAGTTGTGAGGAAAGACAGAAGAAAAATGCAGAGGAAAACAAAATGATTTTATGCTATAGAAAAATGCATGTAATTGGCATGAAAATTAATCTTTAGTTTGATCAGGCACATTATCCAGTAATCTTTGTATCCTTAACAATGAAAGTTTCTCCTAAAGGGTCTAGTAATAATACAAAGACATTTTAAATTATATCCCCAAACCAGGATACATTACCGTCGCTTTGTTATATAGAGTTCATCAAGAAGATGTCGTTCTTCATAACTCATCCACCGTTCATCAGGCAACTCTTCTTCCTTCTGAAGCAACTGTTCATAGAGTCGGACTGGATTCCAGCCAGTCATTATGTCGTAAGTGATTACACATCCCAAGGAATGGGACACTATTGAGACTTTACCCCCTTTTTCTTCAAAGTCTGGGTTCCGAGAACAGAAAAGGGAATATAATCGATTCAGCTCTTGCTGAAGGCCTTTAACTAGCTGTTTGAAACAAAAAGAAATACATATATATATGTATTAGTTATCACTGAGTGCTGTAAACCTTATTTCTAAACTCAAGAAAACTAAACATTACTGACCAAATATAGGTTATCAGAATGAGTCTGCTTTACAATCTTGCAGAACTGAAGGGATACATAATATTACAATCTTTATAATTACTACAGAACACACAAGCATATAGATCTGTGTATGTACACAGATCTTTGTGTAGGCCTGAAGTCAACTACATTGGGAGATTAGGAAAAATGTGTTCCCTGTAGATTCTAGTAACTGCATCTTATCCCTACAGGCAATTTCTATATACTTTTTTTCTGGTACTGGTGTTTGAATTCACACTTCACACTTACTCAGCTTGTTTGCACAATTAGTGCTTTACTATTTGAGTCATGCCTCCAGCTTGATTTGCTAGTTATTTTAGAAATGGAGTCTTGTGGGCTTTTCTTCCCAGGCTAGCCTCGAACTGATCATCTGGATCTCAGCTTCGTAAGTGGCTAGGATTACAGGCATGAACAACTGGTGGCTTGCTTCAATCCTCAATTTATACTTTGTGATATTTAGTCATACATTTTGGAAATGAGTTTATAGCACATATATGAACATATTACATATATAGTTAAGAGTAATATAATAAAAGGATACTGTATGATTTGAATAAAAAGCTAATGTTAATCTTGATATTTCAAATTTCCATTAAGTTGGTGATAGATATGAGTAAAAATTTGATTTTTAGGGGTGAGAAGCAAGGCTTTTTAAAGTTTGGGGTTATTCATTTTGGAAAGAGTAATTTTTCTTAACAAAACTGTTTTCTTTGAAATTAATTATTATTATTGCAATACTCTACACAATCAACAGAATAAAGTTCTTCTGCTACTCAAACTCATATTGACTCCTGACCTCAGTTTTAAGTCTTTTCATTTCTAGACTATTATTTATTCCTACTTGGTTATACATTTTGAGTTTGAGACTCAATTTCTTTTTTTTTCCTTTTTACAGCTTCTTTTTTTTTATTGTGAAAATACTGTACAGAGGGGTGAAACTCAATTTCTTATTGAAGTCTGTAGGATGCTAGCTGCTACTCTGACAAAGTACAGTAATTTGTTGTTTTTGAATTTGACCCTCAATTTCTTATAGAAGTCTATAGAATGCTAGCTGTTACTCTTGACAAAGAACAGTAATTTGCTGGAAAAATTAGGAGTCCATGGAACATTCCTCAATACAATAAAGGCTGTATATGACAAACCTATAGCCAGCATTATACTTAATAGTGAAAAACTAAAGCTATTTCCTCTAATCTCAGGAACGAGACAAGGATATCCACTCTCTCCACTTCTCTTCAATTTAGTATTAGAATGCCTAGCTATAGCAATAAGACAAGATAAAAACATAAAGGGGATCCAAATAAGGAAAAATAAAGTAAAACTCTCCCTCTTTGCAGATGACATGATCTTGTATTTGAATCCCACAGACTCCACTCCCAAATTACTTGAGCTGATTTGAAACTTTTGCAAAGTAGCAGTGTATAAAATTAACCCTCAAAAATCAGTGGCTGTCCTGTATGCCAACAATGAGAAGAGCACTGCTGAGATTAGGAAAGCAAGTCCTTTTGTAATAGCCTCACAAAAAATAAAATACCTAGGAATTAACAATTAAAGAAGTGAAGGACCTCTACGATGAAACTTTAAAAACCTGAAAAAAGAAATCAAAGCAGAACTTAGAAAGTGGAAAAAATCTCCCATGCTCCTGGATTGGAAGGATCAACATTGTGAAAATGGCAATATCTACAAATAGATATCTACAAATTCAATGTGATACCTATCAATATTCCAATCTCATTCTTCAAGGAAACAGAAGAGGCAATCCAAAAATTCATATGGAACAATAAAAGACCCCGAATAGCAAAAACAATCCTTAGGAGACAGAATGAGTTTGCTTTACAATCTTGAAGAACTGAAGGGATACATAATATTACAATCTTTGTAATTACTATAGAACACACAGTGCTGGAGGGATATCAACACCAAATTTCAAAGCCATAGTAATCAAAACAGCTTGGTACTGGCACAAGAACAGACCTCAGGACCAATGGAACAGAATTGAAAACCCAGAAATGAACCCACAGACCTACAGCCACTTAATTTTTGATAAGGAAGCTAAAAAAATAGAATGGAAGAAAGACAGCCTCTTCAGTAAGTAGTGCTGGAAAAATTGGTTAATTGCCTGTAGAAAACTAAAGCTAGATCCTTATATATCACCCTGCACCAGAATCAACTCCAAAAATGGATCAAAGTCCTCAGAGTCAAAGCAGACACCCTGAAAATATTACAGGAAGGAATAGGAGACACTCTAGAGGTCTCCTTGGCACAGGCTGAAATTTTCTTAATAGAGACCCAGAAACACAACAAATCAAAGAAAGGTTGGACAAATGGGATTGCATGAAGTTGCAGAGCTTCTGCATGGCAAAGGACATAGCTAGCAAGCTCCAACAGAAAGCCCACAGATTGGGAAAGATCTTCACTAGACATACAACGGATAAGGGTCTCATATCTAAAATAAACCTGCAACTCAAAAAATTAAATCCCCCAATAAACAACAAATCCTCAAAAAAAACAACTACCCGATAAATAAGTGGGCTAAAGACTTAAAGAGAAACTTCTCTGAAGAGGATGTAAAAATGTCTAATAGATACATGAAGAAATGCTCAACCTCTCTAGCCATAAAAGAAATGCAAATCAAAACAACAGTGAGATTCCACCTCATCCCACTTAGAATGGCTATAATCAAGAAATCTAATAATAACAGATGCTGGAGGGGATGTGGACAGAAGGGAACCTTACTTCATTGTTGGTGGGAGTGTAAACTTGTTCGACCACTTTGGAAAGCAGTATGGAGGTTCCTCAAAAGACTCCCTAGAGCTCCCCTAAGACCCAGAAATTCCACTTTTGGGAATTTACCCAAATGATCACAAACTAGACCATACTAAAGCTACCAGCACAACTATGTTTACTGCAGCATTATTTACCATAGCTTAGAAGATATGGAACCAACCCAGATGCTCCTGAGTAGATGAATGGATCAAGAAATTGTGGTGTGTGTGTACATACACACACACTGGAATTCTATGCCTCCATCAGAAAGAATGACATTGCCCCATTTGTTAGGAAATGGAAAGACGTGGAAAAAATTGTATTAAGTGAGGTAAGCCAGGCCCAAAGAAACACAGGTGCCATGGTTTCCCTTATTTGCAATAACTAGTATATATCTGGGATAAGCAGAAAAGGTCAGATATGTAAATATGACCAGATAAGATGATGTTAAGCGAAATGAACCCCAAGATAGGGACACAAGTGGTTTTTTCTTTCTTGCTATTGATTCTAATGTATTTATAAGGGACCATGTGATTTTTTTTGTTACTTCCTCCCCTACAGTATAACCCGTTTTTACTGTATTTGATGTTGGTATAATTTGGGGAGGGGAAGGGAAAAAACAAAACATTTAAATAGGGAGACAGGTTACCCATTGTGACAATGAGATGTACAAGACACTGCTGAACAACGAACTTTACAATTTAGGCAGTGGGACGGGGGAGAGTGTAATTGTGGCAGTGGGAGGGAAGGGATGGTAGGGGAAAAACAAAGGAGGAGGCAATAATGCTTGATAAGAAATGTACTCATTACCTTGCTCATGCACAGTATTTTCACAATAAAAAACTTATAAACAAAAAAGAACAGTAATTTGTTGTTTTACTTGTGTTCCACTACTGGTTTTTTGGTGGTTAGCTGGAGATAAAGTGTTCTCATGGACTTTCCTGCCTGGGCTGGCTTTAAACCACAATCCTCAGATCTCAACCTCCTTAGTAGCTAGGATTACAGGCATGAGCTACCAGTGCTTGGCTTGTTTTTACTTTTAATACTGTTATTCTCCCTCAAGAGACAACTAGCTTCCAACTTTTACTGAGCATACTCAATGATACAAACTGACAGTCACTTAAGCATTTTATGATTGGCTGGATCAGCAATGTCATAGATCTCATAAAAGGCATGACATTCTGTTGACACCTAAGAGTTCCATAATGCAATACTGAGGGCTCATTAAAGCTACTGAAACCAAGTGTCCTGTCTGATGAAATATATTCAGCCAATGTAGTATAAGATGATAATGTGGAAGGATAAGATGCTTTCCCTCTAAAGAGAAATGTATAAGTTTCTTTAGTTGGTATTTTATGTTCTTTTTTTTTTTTTGTCGTCGTCAGTCATGGGGCTTGAACTCTGGGCCTAGGTGCTGTCCCTCAGCTCTTCAGCTCAAGGCTAGCGCTCTACCACTTGAGCTACAGCGCCACTTCCAAGTATTTCTATGTCTTTAAGGACTTCCATGCTTTCATGTAGCGGTTCTCCAATTTTCAACATGTTTCAGCTTCACCTACTTGGAGTCTTGTTCAATACAAGTTCCTAGGCTCTCTGAAAAGGGAATTTTGTAACTAACAGATTTTTACTTTTGTACACTTGCAGTGCTTTTCTTCTGCCTTCCACTATTGACAGGTAATTTTACAGTGAAGTAGCCCAATGTTAAAGATAGTGCCTGGCACAGAGCTGGTGCTCAGTGAGTATGTATTAACAAAATTAAAGGTCAGGGAAGTCAAAATAAGCAGCTAGACTGACAACACTGTGATCAGACTGACTAAAATGTGACCACAGAAGAGAGGAGTATAAGCAGCATGGTTATGTGGTGCTCTACCAGCTGATTCAAATCCTGCCTCTAACACTTGGCTAAATGAGACACTTCTGGCATATTACCTAATCTCTCCTTGTGTTGGTTTCCTCACCCCTCAAATAAGGATGACAATAACCAATCTGCTTCACAGGGTTTTTATGAAGATTATTATGACAATTACCAAGTGTTAGTTTACTCTGATGATCAAAAGTCCTCCAATGAGTGACAAAGTGGATGTGATAGAAATTCTCTCATTCTGTTTTTTACCTCTTACCTATGCTAGTGCTATTTGTGGTGAATTAGCAACATTGTCATCTGGGAACCGTATAAATCACTACACAGTGGGGCAATATCTGTCTATCACACAGAAGCAAGCAGAAGGAAATTCCTAGGTGTCTAAAACTCTTGTGAGGACAACAATCAGAGATATAATTAATGTGATGGATAAAAGATGGTATTTTTTCAAAGAACAATGTTCAAATCAATATCCTACCAATAAGACTATCACTAAGGGCTTTAATGTCTAGTTTGAAGATTGTCAAATTCACTATTAAATACAGGCTATCTACAGATAAACAGATTTCTGTAATTTCTCATTTGGTTAGTAAAATCATAAAATTAAAAGGCAGGGCATTCACATAGCATCATTCTCCTTAAACACATCTAAAAAAAAATCGAGACAGTCATAATACTTACTTCATCTCTATAAAGGGGACTAGTATAATACATGATGTCCATTGCACTGCTATTTAGCATGTCCCTTAAACCTCGAACTTTATCAGGAGTAATGGAGTCAACAGTGTCTACAAAAAGTGAAACAACAAAATTAAAACTATAGAAGATATTTGTTCTTGGGGGGTGGGGGGGAAACAATGAGAGATATATTACATTTCCTGAAATAATTTAACATTTAAATAGTTGAGACCAGCTTTGGTTTTAATGTACTTTCCTTTCCTGAAAATTATTACAAAAACAGCCAGGCACCAGTGGCTCATGGCTGTAATCCTAGCTACTCAGGAGGCTGAAATATGAAGATCAAAGTTAAAAGCCAGCCCAAGCTGACTTTTATCTCCAATTAACCAACCAAAAAACTAGACATGGAGGCATACATGGCTCAAGTGGTAGAGTGCCAGCCTTAAGTGAAAAAGCCAAGGAAGCATGTGAGGTTCTGAGCACAAAAAAAATTCACAAAAACAAACCAATAAAAGACCAAAAAAAAAAAATGACATTAAAAGAACACTAAGAATAAACAACCATTATAAAAAATTTTTTTGATCCATGTATCTTGGGTCTGGCAATAATTATGTGGAAGATCTGGCACTGCTAACAGAAATTCAAGACTAAATTAAGACTTCCCAGAGGTCATGCCTTTATCTACCCTTTAGTGAACCAAAAACTTTATGGGCAAGAACTGTCAAATCATAAATATGCACAAAAGCAAGAAAATGAATAACGGACTTCTTCACTGAACAAGGTAGTGTTGAAAACTATTTACCTAATAAAATTACTAAAGATGCAGAAAACTACATTTCTTTTAAACACTGAGAAACTTGTGTTTACAATATTTACACTGTGCAATAGTATTCATCATACTTGGGTGATTATTATTACTCAAAAAAGCAACAGGAAGTGGCGCTGTAGCTCAAGCTGAAGAGCTGAGGGACAGAGCCCGGGCCCAGAGTTCAAGCCCCACGGCCAACAACAACAACAACAAAAAAGCAACAAATTGCAGAAGGTTTATGGTACAATTTCATTCTTCTCCTGTTTTTCACTGTATTGGCTTAGATTACTGCATTTCCCCATACACTTTAATATAATGTACTGAATGCAAGACTGGAAGGCAGTGATAATCCCAAAGTACTGGGATTACAGGTGTATGCTACTGTCTCTTCTTTGATGCCAACCTTTTAAGTTGCAAAAGTGGAAGGCATAACCACCATGCTCATATGGAAACAGTTTAAATGTCATTTAATGCATTTGCAAAAATGTTTTTATTATTAAATAAGAAAGTAATACATCTGGGCAATTGAAAGAATAATTTATAAAAAGAAGAACAACGATGTCTTACTTTAAAATATTGCTATTGTGTTGGGTATGTAGTTCAGTGGCAAAGGGCATGCATGTTAGCATGTTCAAAGGTCTTAAGTTCAATGGGCAGCACACTATCACCAAGAATACTGCCATTATCTTTGATGTCCACCATATATTTTTAAATGACCATGGACTTCTTTTGCTATTGGCAGCAATGTTGTTTTTTTTCCCCCATCAGCGCTGGAGACTGAACCAAGGGCCTCACACATGCTAGGCAAATACTTTACCAGTTATACCCTGTGTCAAACTTCCTCTTCAAATTTCTCTTTATTAGATACAATCTCACTAATAAGTGGTTTGGATTAATCATGTACTTTGTTACGTATTTGTTACAAAATATTACTATAGTCAATTACTTTTATAGTATTTATTATGTGTCAGATGGCTAATATTTTACTTTGCCTGTTTCTGAACAGAATTCTTCTACCTCTGCCAAGGTACTGAGATTCATCCATGTTGATATGTCTAGTTGTAATCCACTCATTTTTATTGCTGTATGGTATTTATTCTCCTCTACATTGAAACTTTCCCACGCCTTTGAGAGACATGTGGGTGTTTCTAGATATTTTCTTTCGTAAACTATGAAATGTTCTCTATTTGGTGTGTGAAGTATGGCTCTTCCCCCTTTCTTTCCCACATGACAACCATTTATCAAGCATATTGAAAACACAGGTCACCCTTTCACCAAGCAGGTGTAAAGCCAGCTCTGACAGGTATCAAGTTTTTACATTAGCACCTCTATTTAAGAACTCTACTCTGGTACACTAGTCTATTTGCCTAGCCAGTACCAACACTAAGCTGTATTAATTACAAAGGTGAAATATTAGGTCTGGCTGTCTGGTAGGACACAACTTTCTAATAATTTAAAAATTAATTTGTCAAGAATCATGAAAAATGCTATTGGATTTTGGTTAGGATTTCATAGAATCTACAAATAAATTTGGGAAAAAATAAACACTTCTTTTTTTTTTTTTTTTGGGTCCGGTTGTGGGGCCTGAACTCTGGACCTGGGCGCTGTCCCTCAGCTCTTCAGCTCAAGGCTAACGCTCTACCACTTGAGCCACAGCGCCACTTCCAGCTTTTTTCTTTTTGCTTATGTGGTGCTGAGGAATCGAACCCAGGGCCTCAGGCATGCAAGGCAAGCACTCTACCACTGAGCCATCTTCCTAGCCCCAATAAACACTTCTTGTTTAAGTTGAATTTAATTATTGTTTAATGATCTCTTGATTTTAAATATACATCTAGTGTTTTCTTGATATTCTGCATTTTAATATCATTTGTGTTGCTGGTATAGAGAAATGCAATTATTTCACAACTTTCATAATCTTATTAATCCTAATAATTTTTATAAATTCTTTTGTAGACACATTTGGCCTTTAAGCATATGCTTTCAATTCTTTATAGCTATTTTATTTTTCTTGCATGCTGATGTTTGCTATAGCTTGCTTTTATCATTACTTTTAAATTTAATAACTATGAATTCTAATGTATGCACAATAAACACCACCATGATCAGAACACAGAACTGTTCTGCCTCCTTAACCATTTTACAAAGTATGCAAATCTTTAAAGACTGGCTTTACTCATTCATTCTAAAGCCTTCAAAACTAACAAAGTAGACCAGGAGTGGTGGCATACACCTGTAACCCTAGTATTCAGAAGGCTAAGGCAGGGGCTGGGAAGGTGGCTCAGTGGTAGAACGCTTGCCTTGCATGCATGAGGCCCTGGGTTTGATTCCCCAGCACCACATAAGCAAAAAGAAAAAAGCCAGAAGTGGCGCTATGGCTCAAGTGGTAGAGCGCTAGCCTTGAGCTGAAGAGCTGAGGGACAGCACCCAGGCCCAGAGTTCAGGCCCCACAACCGGACCCCCCCCCCCAAAAAAAAAAAGAAGGCTAAGGCAGGAAGGTGAATCATGATAACAGCCTGGACTATACAGAGAGTTTGAGGCCAGTATGTCTATACAGTGATACTTTTGCTTCTAAAACAAACAAAAACTATTGTACTGGGAGAGAATAGGAGAAAGGATGATACTGTATGACAGGAAATGTACTCATTACCTGACTTATGTAATTGTAATCCCTCTGTACACCATATCTTTATAATAACAATAAAGTTAATTTTTAAAAAAACTACTTCAGTAATTAAAACCAAACAGGAGCGGTAAGCTCATGGGATTTAGTAATTTTTTTTTTTTTTTTTTCTGCCTGGTCCTGGATCTTGAACTCTGGGCCTAGGTGTTGTCCCTGAGCTTCTTTTGCTCAAGAAGAACACTCTACCACTTAAACTACAGTGCCTCTTCTGGCTTTTTTGAGTAGTTTATTGGAGATAAGCATGTCAGGGACTTTCTCAGGCTGGCTTTGATCCGTGATCCTTAGATCTCAGCCTCCTTAGTAGGAGGCTAGGATTACAGGCATGAGCCACTGGTGCCTGGCTTTAGTAAATTTTAATACATCTTTGCTGGCTATAATTCTTGAGTATCCATCTTAGTAAATGAGCAAAGCTCAAAATTTTATACAGAATATTTACACAAAGCCATTAAGCTGAGAGTTGTCCTTTGGTAATAAGCATTTATTTTTAAGAGCTCATTATAACTTTTGATCCCATTTTGGTTTGGTAAGTGCTAAGTGAAATTTCTAACTTTGAGACAGTATTATAGAACTCGAAGAATCCTTGGAAATCATCAAAAGCCAGTTTACTATTATGTGAATATTGGCTTTGGTATCATGCAGACCCAGATTCTTACAAGACATCTGTTCCTTCTATATATGCTTTTTCTACCTTGAGACTATAGAGGATATGCATGAAAATAGTGCTGTGAAATCTATATAATGTTTTACATGACAGAAATGAGTATAATCATTAAAAAAAGCAACAGTTCTATTTATTCAATCTAAAACAAAGAGTGAATATACCCCAAGACAAAACTGACTTTGTTTTCAATGAACAAAAAGTTTTCCTAAAATTCTATGCATTCATTTTGGTAAATGTTTGACACTGGCTATATCATTCAATCTGTAAGATAAAATATACCTCCATCAAGAGTAAGTTTTGACCGCCATTCAACAGGCAGAAATTCAACATGTGTTGCATGATTGGAAAAATGCTTTTCTTCTATTTTTCTTGCAGCCTCTCTCATCCTACAAAATAAAAACATAAATGAATAAAAGCAAAATAAAACTTTGAGAATAACTTCACATATGTATTTATATGGTAAAGAATCTTTTGTTATCCCCTTTTCCAATTATATTTCTATTACTGAGACACTAAGCAAAGTTGGCAACATCAGAACCATTTCAAAGTTATTTTTCTTAAATTTGAAAACTATGATTTCAAATGTTCTAAGTTGTTACACTGTTTCCTAAATATATGCAAATTTTTAGATATAATGAATTATACCTGTACCATCAACCAGCTCTGAATATTCTCAAATTATGGCCTACTTATTTTAAATATCCTCTCATTTTAACTTTTGAAATTAAAGTATAAACAAATTTGATTCCCCCCCCCCCTTTAGTGTCAATTACATGAATTTTAGCACATGTGGGTAGCATTCCACCAGGAAAATGGGAACACTGTACTAATAAATATGCTGAAATTTAAAAACGATTAATTTTTGATACTTCCATATTACATAGCTATATGCTATTTATGGATGAAATGATGTGATGTCTGAGATTTGCTTTTAATTACGAGGGGAAAGTTCAACTTAAAAGGGATAGCTGAGGAGTCTTTATTTACAAAGTTTAAAGAATTTTGATACAAACTCACTTATCTATTCTACTTTTGATGCAGTATCTCAGAAACCACTGCCTAATCCAAGACTGAACAGATTTTACTCTTTCCTGTTAAAGACTTTAAGTTTTAGCTCTAAGTAGGAGCCAAGTAAGTCTTCGTTTCATCTCTAATTTGTACATACAGTATGAGGCAAGAGTCACCTTCATTCTCTTGCATGATAATCAGTTGTCTTAACTCCATCTGTTGAAGATTATTCTTTCCCTATTGAACTGTACTGGCATTGTCAAAAAGCAATTTGAAGCTGGGTACCAGTTGGTAATCCTAGCTACATGGGAGGCTGAGATAGGAAGAACAGTGTGGTTCAAGGTCAGCCCACACATACACAAAATTCCTTTGTCAACTAACAGTTGGGTGCAGTGGGTAAACCTGTTGTCTTAATGAAAGGCCAAGATTGGGAGGATTTCAGTTCTAGGGTAGCCAGGGCAGAAAAATCTGTGAGATTCCATTTCAGTGGAAGAATCTGGGCCTGGTGGCACATGCTGGTCATTCTAGCTGTGACGAAAAGCCTAAACTAGGTGGCTGGTAGTCCAAGTACACAACTGGGCAGGAAGCCCTATCTGAATAATAACAAGTGTGGCTGGACAAAGTGGTTCAATCCTGCAATCCGACCTACTTGGGCAACTGGGAGGGGTGGGTCATCATGCCAGGCAAACTTGGACTTCAGTTCACAAGCCTTCATTTTAATCAATGGTTGGGTATGGTGGGGACAAGTGCCTATCACCCCAGCAACAAAAGGAGGACCTGGCATAAAATGAGATCCTAACTTGAAAACAATCAATGCAAAAAGGGACTGGGGTAGTGACTCATGTGTGAAAGAGGTCTCCTGCCTAGTTGGTGCCAGGCCCTGAGTTTGAATCCCAGTATGAACGGAACTCTTAATCCAATACCATTCACTTTGTCTATCCATATACTAGGCAGTACTACGAGGTCTTAATTAGTAGTAAATTCTGTAGTAAATTACAGAATCAACTAATTTATTAAATTAGTAAATTATGTAATAAAATATAGAATCTAGAAGCATGAATTCTCTATCTTCGTTCTTTTTTTTTTTTCTTTTTGGGTCCGGTCATGGGGCCTGAACTCTGGGCCTGGGCACTGTCCCTCAGCTCTTCAGCTCAAGGCTAGCTCTCTACCACTTGAGCCACAGCCCACTGTGGCCCACTGTTCCTGATCTTAGGGAAATGCTTTAGTCTTTGCCAGTAAACTTAATTTTAGCTGAGGGTTAAACTAAGTAAACTAGGTTGAGAAAATTCATGTTTCTAGTTTCCCGAATGCTTTTATTATGAAAGAGATTAGACTTTTGTCCAATGCTTTTTTTACATTATAACCTACCTGCTTGTTTTCTCCTTTAATCTCTTAAAAGAGCCTATTTTAGCAAGGCAAATTTGGGACATACCCACAAGCCTTGTCTTCCACTCTCTTGGAGCCATTTCCTTTTACATTTCCTTTCGTCTTTCTAGCTGGGCATGGTTGTAGGATGTGTCTTACCCTAGGCACTGAACTCACTATGACATAATCTTCCTGCCTCAGTCTACTGAATACTAGAAGAACAGGCATGTCCCACCATGCTAGACATTTTTTTTTTAGTTGCTCCAGCAAACCTTATATTCCTGCAATAAATCCCACTTTATCAGGTTATTTAACTCTATGCGTTGTTGGACTTAAGTTTCCTTCCTTATTAATACTTTTATTTGCTTTTGGTATCTAGGTAATACTAGTCTTAAACACTGAGTTAAAAAATCTTCCTTCTCCTATTTTGGGGAGTTTGAGGAATTTTTTTTTTTTCCTTTTAATTGTTTGGTAAGAATTCACTAGTGAAGTTGTTTCTAGGCTTAATTTTTTTTCTGGGAAGCTTTATGATTATTGATTCAAATGCTTTACATTTTATAGATCTATTCAGGTCTCTTATGCTGAATCAGTTTTGGCCTCCATTACCTATAGGAATCTGTCTATTCGGCAAATAAATACTGCTGTGCAGTATCACCTTATAATCCTTTTTATTTCTGTAATGCTGTAGTTGATAATGTCTCCTTTTTATTCTGTAATTTGAGTCTTATATTTTCTTGATTAGTATAGCTCAAAGTTTGTCAATTTTATAGTTTTTCAAAAAATCAAGATCTTCTGCATTTTATTTTACAACTGATAGTCTTCCTTAATAGACAGTAACCGTCATTTACATAATGTACATACTATACAATACTATACTATACATGTATACCATGTACAGATGTGAGAGCCAACGGGAATGAAAGGGTAAGAAAAACGAATGATTTAATACTGTACTATAGCTCACACTAGAATCAATTACTGTGCTGTAATTATGCTATGAATAAAATATCGTGATTTAAGTCCTATAAACTTATTTGACCCTCCATGTTCTCCTGCCATGCAATGAATACTTAGTTCGTATTCTGTAAAGAGAAGGAAGGGAGAGATTAGTAGCATCTGTACTGTCCGATTAAGGATCATTAAATCACCCTGAAAAAGTATTCATAATTCCTTTCAGGAAAAAAAACTCAATACCTAATTTTTCTTGAGAATATATAAGTATGATATATCTATTTCATACACATAGGAAAGATTTGGAAATTCATGAGCAGTAATTTAAAGGTACATTAAAAAAAGTCAAGATCTAGAAGTATATATATTATGCCCATTTTTGTGTGAAAAGTTCTATGTGCATAAAGAAAACTTGAAAATATATGAGATAGAAAAATAATAATGGGGGAAGACAGGAATAGGAATGAGAATCATTTTCTTTCCTTTTTTAAAAGACTATATAGCCAGATTGTTATGAAGTGCTGCTTAGAGACATGTGCTATCATGCCCAGGAAGAATCAGACTTTATATACATGTATTTTATCTTTGTAAACCATGTGGATGCTGATCTTCTTTGTCTGCCATTATTTCTTCTTCCATTGTTTTCAGTACTGAAGGGTTATGTTCTCCTTTTAGTGACGTTTCAGGAGGAAATAAAATAACTTATAACTAACTTCAACTTAATCATATTTCACTGAAAATCTCTTCACATTATTCTAAAACTACAGGTGACCTCATTAATTTAAGATGTTAGATATGTAATGTCAAAAAGATTTGCCTTGTAATAAAGTAAATCTATTGTATTTAAAACATTTATACTTTTTAATAACTCAATTTTGATTATTTCTTTAGTTATCTGCAAACTTTATTCTCAAGCTATGTAAATCAGTAAACATACTTTGCTGATACAAAGTGATTAAAACTAGCTTGAATTCATAAGTAATTTTACCATGATAAGGTGAGAGGGAAAAATATCTGTACTTCCAAGCATTAGAGACTTGATTTCAAAAGATCCTTAGAGAACAAAAGGTTGCCCATGGAGTAAAGGTAGTTAAATCTTAATACAGTTTATTAAATCAAGTCACATGTATAAATCACAAAAGTACAACTGCAGAATAGCACTGATAGAGATGAGGTTAAATTTACTTTCTTTTTTTTTTTTTAATTTTATTTTATTTGAGAACATACTGTACAGAGGGGTTACAATTACATGGGCAGGATAATGCATACATTTCTTACCAAGCATTGTAGCCTCCTCCTTTGTTTACCCTTCACTTCCCTTCCCAGCCTCCCCCCTCCCCCCCCACCCAATCATACCCCCCCTCCCCCCCCACACCGACATTGTAAAGCTGGTTTTGACATGTCATTTTGTACTTCTCATTGTTGCAACAGGTAAATTTACTTTCTTTTTTAAAAAATTGAACAACCACTTTTTTAAAAAATTGAGGGCTGGGAAGGTGGCTCAGTGGTAGAGCGCTTGCCTTGCATGCCTGAGGCCCTGGGTTCAATTCCTCAGCACCATATAAGAAAAAAAGCCCGAAGTGGTGCTGTGGCTCAAGTGGTAGAGCGCTGGCCTTGAGCTGAAGAGCTGAGGGACAGGGCCCAGGCCCAGAGTTCAGGCCCCACAACCGGACCCCCCCAAAAAAAATTTTAAAAAAATTTTAAAAAAATTGAACAACTGGACCACTTAGCTTAGGAATGGTAGCAAGTGGGAAAACGTAGGAAATGTTGACATTCCTATCATTTGCAGATTAACCTGCCTTTTTAGGGAACAATGATAATCCTCTGTGAATTGTTTTCTGAGTCATTTAGGATTCATTAATTTTCAATTTCCAGTAATAGCTCTTGATTTTTTACCTATAGCTTTACCTTTCCTTACTGTTTTGATGCGTCAACCAACCGCTATCTGATGTTAGGTAGGGTGAGACTACCACAAGTCTGGTCATTCAGACTGAGTATATAAATTCATGTACTTAATTACAACACTATCAGTCACTGAAATGCAGACTATCCAGGAATTTCTGTAATAAAGACTTAAAATCTTTTCTGTTGACTTTGAACATAAAACGTTATACACATCTCCTGTGGAGTCATAGGATATATCTGAGAGTAGCTACAAAATGAAGGTAGGTAGAGCTGATAGATTCTGATGGCTTATTTGGCAGAGTACCTCCTCGACTCCTAAATCCTCCTTTTGACGTAAGCCTGTTTTGTTTTTAGATTTTGCTAACTGGCACTTACAGAAATAAAACCTATACCTTTTCAATGTCAATGATTTAAGAAACTATAATAGTAAACCTAGTTTTCAAGACTCCAGATATCCAAGCAAAAGATGCATCCTAGCATAAAAATTATCATAAGAATATACAACTCATCACAATAAAATCAGAATCAGCAGGAAGACATTTCTATGGTAAGAACAAAGGAAGGATCAGTAGCCAGGCTATAGCTAACAAAAAATAATTTTTTAAGTTACATTAAAAACGTTGAATCAGATGGGGAAAAACCAGTTGTTTAAGGATACAGGTGGACCTGTTGCAACAATGAGAAGTACAAGTTGTCATGTCCAAAACGAGCTTTACAACGTCGGGGGGGGGGGGGGAAGAGGGGGGAAGGAGGATTGGGATTGGGGGGGAGGGGGGAGGCTGGGCAGGGATGTGAAGGGTAAACCAAAGGAGGAGGCTGCAATGCTTGGTAAGAAATGTACGCGTTATCCTGCCCATGTAATTGTAACCCCTCTATACAGTATGTTCACAAATAAAATAAAATAAAATTAAAAAAAAATAATCAGAGCAAAAAAAAAAAAAAAGCCAACATTAGAGAGACAGATGACATATTTTCACTTGAAGTCTACAATCAGAAAACTCTGTTTCTCAATAACTGACCTGTTCTCATCACATCATAAATTTGTACTTGATCAAATTTTTCTTATACTACATGTAAGCTCAGAACCAAATTTGTGGTGGAATTTTTAATGACCATATTCTCTTTCAGCACACAAATGATATTTTTGAAACATGCAAATCTACACATACCTCAATAATCTCAATAATCTACAATACCTCAATACAATAATCTACAAATACCTCAATAACATCTCAAGAGTTTTTAGACTAAAGTGGAGTATAGATCTATGAGGTAACTAATGTGCCTGGTAGATTAGAAAACTGCCTACCAATTCTATAAAATTTAGAGCTCAGTTCCTTCTAATAGAAATTAACTTGATAAGCTGCTCAAAAGCAGAATAAACAATTCTTAGCAGTTTCAGAGCTGGGCAACTCTGAAGTATTCTGTGTTCAGAGAGTAGGATATAAACTTAAAACCAGATCTTTTTTATTGCTTTCAAACCTTGGATTTGTGTAAGTTAATTTAATATGTTAAAAAGGCTTTCCTATCCCTTCTCTTCTCCATATGGCAGGATAAATTTGGTTCATAAACTTGACTGTGATAAAACGGTTGTTGGCACTGCAAAAATATGGAGTGAAATGAGGGAATGCCATAATCCTTCTCATGTTTCAGATAAAGCTTGGATACCAGACTAGATATACAATGTATAGCCAAGAACTCACATGGCTGTATTTTTGATAATTCTTCCTTGGTCCATTTTCTGCCCAATGCCATGAACAACAAACACAATATGGGTGGTCTGTGATGGCTTGTCTTCCAACGTGGCTTCTTCCACATAACCTCTATGAAGTCTGGTCCCACTACTTGATGCTATGGAAAAATTAGGATTCTAAGTTTAATATTTATTTTTAGAAATAGCATTTTCACAATATGTGAAAAAGTGAGAATATAAAGCAAGAAATTTCATTGAACATAAATAAAATTTTGTAAGATAAATGGCTGGTATAAAGTGAACAAGACATGACCTCAAAGTCAATTATCAGTCTGAAAAAGAAAACTACATGTCAGATTAAAAGCTTCTATATTACATTATCAGTAAACAAAGATAAAACACAAATGGGAAACTTGGGGAAATGTGACATACAGTAAGTTAATTACCTAAAGTATACAAAGTGAGCTTACCATTTGAAAAATAAAGACAGCTATTCAAACAGCAAAATGGGAGAAAGACATGAGCAGATAATTTACAAAATGCATATAGCTGATTAACAAGCATGTAAAATGATATTCAAGCACATGGACTATCAAGTAAATTACAATGCAAATGACAACAAAAATTTAAAAGACAAACATTTAAAAAAATTTACGTTTTGAAAATGTTAGCTTTCTAAGTTACCATTCTCTTCTTTCTTTCAGTAGATGTTTAAAGAGTTGCCTTCATTTCCTTACCTTCTACTTACAATTTTGATCTTTATCTTCCTTGACACTGTATAAATGTTTTACTTTTACTGTCTTGGATTTGACTAGCTTTTATAGTATTGATTTATTAATCTTGTCTGATCATTCTAAATACATAATTACTTATTATAAATGAATAATATCACCTTATGTTTCATTTAATGGGATATCTGTATCAAATTTAACAACTAAAAACTATATTAAAAATAAGAAATTTCTATTTTGGATGTAAGTAAAAACAAATTCTTTTCTCTTGTGGGTGTGAGCCCTTCCTGTGTTTTCTTCAGAAGTTCAGTCTTTTTTTTTGGGGGGGGGGGGAAGGGGGGGTCGTGGGCCTTGAACTCTAGGCCTGAGCGCTGTTCCTCAGCTCTTCAGCTCTACCACTTGAGCTACAGCGCCACTTCCTAAAAACAAATTCTTATAACCAAATTTTGACAAACTAAAATAAGATCTAATAATTACCTTTAGAAAATCCCAGTTTTTGGGTAACTGTTCTTGCAATTTTAGACGTGGTTGCATCACTATAAAGATATACTTCATCCATACTGTGCCAGTCCACATGGTTTCGACTCAATTTGAAACTATGAATAGCTGTTTCAAAAGAGAAAATATAACTTGAAGGTCTCTAAGACAATGTTATGAAAAAATTATACCATTCAGATCTTTGAATCAATAGTACATAAGAACCCAGATATATACTTCAGTTCAGTAGAAAAAAATACTCATTAAAAAAACTTAGTTAAGTAATGGACAGAGACTTTATAAATGATTAATAATGCCACAGGAATAGCAACTTGCTAAGACAACATGTAGTAATTGGCATGATTATATAATTGTAGCCCCTAATATGAAGTTAATTAAAGAATTGCATTCCTAGGTGAGCTGATTTTTCCAAAGGCTTTAAGAGATTTAAAAGTCCTTAATAGTTCTAATATAGAAACTTAAGGTCCAGTTTTCCTGTTGGTTCCAGTAAAAATATCAAAAGATCTATAAAACTTTTAATCAGTATTAGGCAAAAATCAAACAGAGGGGATAACAACGTTCGACAAGAAATGTACTCATGGGCTGGGAAGGTGGCTCAGTGGTAGAGTGCTTGCCTTGCATGCATGAGGCCCTGGGTTCGATTCCTCAGCACCACATAAGCAGAAAAAGCCGGAAGTGGCACTGTGGCTCAAGTGGTTGAGTGCTAGCCTTGAGCTGAAGAGCTGAGGGAGAGCACCCAAGCCCAGAGTTCAGGCCCCACAACTGACACACACAAAAAAAATAAAAAAATAAAAGAAATGTACTCATTACCTTAACTCATGTAACTGTAACCCCTCTGTATAGCATCTTTACAACAAAATAAAATTAAAAAATAAAAAATAGAATAAAAGGTATTTTGGGAACAAATATTAAAGCTACTTTTCTGGCTATGTTCATCACAGTAGAAATCCAAATCTGAAAGATGTTTTAATGAGAAATTCAGTGTTTTTCTACCATGATGGTCAATATGCATTTCTCAAACTAGGTTTGAGAAGTCATTTGTGTGAGGCAGGGTCTGTCCTGATCATTTTTGTGTCTCTAGTACCAAACACAGCGTGTGGGCACAGATCACAAATTCAGTATTGTGAGTGGAAGCAATGGATTGAGAAACATATCCATCAAGTCAGAATTTGGTAATCCTGTATTTAGAAGGCCTTATACTTTTCCTTTGTATCTCTGATATAGGGTTAAGAAAAATCCCATGTTCTCATCAGAAAATAGGTACTAAACCTCAGGGCAAAATATTATTCTGTAATTTTATATGAGATATAAAGAAATTAAGTGACTTGCTACAAAACTAATTACCTGTGTAGTCTAACTAATTTGAAGATGGGTTGAAATTCAAGGTAAAGTAACAACATAGCCTGCTATAAAGAGATAAGGTGATGGCCAAGATCTAAGATCATGAGACATTTTTAAAGGAAAACCTGTTTCCTACTAGAATACACAGGTACAGTACAAGAAAATATAGTTCTTTTATGTTACAAATGCAATTTACAAAATGTATGTAAAACCCGCTTATATTTTACTTACCTGCCAGGGCACATGATTGATGCTGAAAATAAGACCTTAGTCTAAGAGCTAACACAATAAACATTCATATCTTTGGTCCTAAAGAAAACAAGGTCGGTTTTTTAAAATAAAAACAATTTTTGCAAAGTTTTAACAACTGTTTCCAAACCACATTTTGTTAAAATAGTGTTGAGCAACTTATGCTTAAAAAAACCTAAAACTACAAGATGGAGATCTAGAAGAGTGCTAAGCCAGCAAAATATTGCCCTTCCTTATCATCTACATCTTGTCTTAAAGCATCTTAATGGTGGTGAATGTCTTGCTACTGGACATATACATAGTTTACTAATGTTTATACATATGTATAGCACAATGGACACGTTAAAGAAACTAATTTCTATAAACTATTTCTCTAAACACAACTGAATGCTAAATCTGGGAATTTAGCTACACAGAGAAATAAAACTCCAATTACTGTACCTTGGGAACGCTTTCGTTTAAGACCTGCCGCATCTGTACTCTCCTTATATCCTCTCCATTTGAACAATGAAGGGAGGGAGAAGGGAGGGAGGTGGTAGACAACTAAGAAAGCAAAAACACTGAGCTTCAAAGTAAATTTAAATGAGGTTTGTCATTTTGCCTTTTTTTCTAGTATTAACTTTAAAAAAATGAGATATGTTTGACAAACATTATTCTAAATGCTTCATTTATTTTCCAGTTAAAACAGTAAAACAAATACTGGTCTAATGTTTATCAAATATATGCTCTATATACTAAAAGGAAATAAAGGCAAATGATTTACCAGTTAGACAATTATGTTACCATTTAATAACTTTGCATAGACAGAACCAAAAGAGAACATGGCATTTTTGAATGATTAAGAAATATAGACTCTATTTTTACAATACTAAGGTTATTTACTCTCTCCAAACACATTAACTCTGACAGCCAATAGCTGATATACAAAAGTGAGAATGACATATGCAATTTCTCATGCAGCCTGCCTAAGAAGATGCCACAGTATCCATTCTACTAGAGGTCTTCCATTATGAAGTATAATCGCTTGAAGCTTCTCTTAAGAACAACGCATTCTTTTCACAACTCTGTTCAAGTTGTTAGAAGACTGTGTGTTGTGTGTGTGTGTTGGTACTGAGGCCTGAACTCAGGACCTAGGTGCTGTCCCTTAGGCTTTCACTTAAGGCTGGTGCTTGGCCACTTGACTCAGTTCTACTTCCGGCTTATGGTGGTTAACTGGAGATCAGCAAGCCTAGGATGGCTTAGGAACCGTGATCCTCAGATCTCAGCCTCCTCAGTAGCTAGAATTATAAGCATGAGCCACCAGTGCCTGGCCTCGAAAGACTTTTTAAAAGTGAAAAAATAATTTAAGCAAATACCAAACTGAAAGCTTTACTTTTAATAATCTTGCCTGGAAAGATCAGTGATAAAATAATGAAAACAATGTATTAGGAAAAATGTATACTGTGACATCTTGTAAGCATAACACAATAAAGAGAAAAACCAGACATGGCCTTGATATTTGACAAATCAGTACTTAACCTTCAAGTCAATATTTTCACTGTCAAATTTTGCTAATTATATATCAATAAATTGTTTATATGATAAGTGTGCAATTATTTAAGTCCACTTGAAATTGAACCTTGAAAATTTGCTAGTTCAGTTAATAAATTATAGAACTTTAAAAAATAAAATATATAAGAACACAGATTGTAACTGAATTCATTTACATTTTGTGTTCTAATGTATTTTATTTTCATCCTTATTCCCTTTTACAATAATTTGACATTCAAAGGTTAAATACTGCTGAAATATAGAAATCTTAAAATTTCTGTAGGACAGTATCAGAAATGTAACAAATCTATTGCATATACAGATAAAATATATGCAAAGATTTGAACAGTAAAGGTATTTGAGAAATGCTCAAAAGGCATTAATGACTATATCTATATATTTAATACTACACCTATGTGTAAATAGATGTCTAGAAGAACTATAGACTAGGACTAAAAGCTGGGCTGCTACAACAGTATTATAAATAGATTTCAGTGTCATGGGTGAAAAAAATCACAACCGAAGCAATTTTCTTCACTGAAATGTTTCTTCTTTCATGTGCCTTCTGGTCAACTTATTCAGGAGTAGACACACACTCAGACCCAAAAATAATAAAAAAAATTCATTAGGAAAAACTGCTAGCTTATCAAAAGTGGATCAAACTGATGTTAACTCGAGAATAGAAACTAGATTTGTTTTAATCCTAGTAATAAAGCTAAATGAGCCAAATTCTATACTTACTTAAGAGAGAACTAAGCATATAGGCCACTTGACCACATTTTAAAATTATACAAATACTCTCAAAACACTAGTTAAGATAGGAAAAATGAAGGCATCTCTCTTCTAAATGAACAGCATAGCTTAAATGTCCAAGAAAAAAGACAACCATCAATATACACAGAAAAAAAAGGCTTTTCATTCCCCAAACTGAAAAAAACATTTAAGAACACTTTCAAAAAATAAACATTGTTCTTTACCTTTAAAAACTTATTTTCACTTGAAAGCCATTATTTGTTACACATTTTATAACAAAGTCAGAGAGCTTAATTTTTTCAACCCAAAGAATAGACTTAGGGGTATACTAAGTAGACTAGAGGGGAAAAAAAGTCTATAACTGTTAAGGAAATTCAAATGTAGAAAGTACTATTTAATGTTTTTATAATTTCTAAAAATAGTTTTAGTGATTCATAACTTAAAATGCTTTTATAAACTAAAATCTTATCCAGTAATGAAAAATTATTTCCAATAGAATAGCTAAAATGATTTTCAATAGATTTCCTATTTTATTTCATTCTCTTTATTATATAATTCTGAAAACAAAGGACTATCCAAAAAAGGGTTGGTAGCAGCATATTAATTCTTAGAACAGAAAAACTCAACTTTTCCCTTCATATAAAAAGCTGATATCATGGAATTTAGAAAACTTTTATTTTGAGACAGCATGATGGTATATCACCAGGCTGGCCTCAAACTTAGCTTTGTCCTGTTTCAGCCTCCTAAATGCTGAGATTACAAGCATGTACCACCACACTCAATGTTAACACAGAAAATTCTAACCCTTAGGAAGCAGCAGCCTTGTACATTCCAAATTTGTTAACAAGAAAATTCATGGCAATTTTTCCTCAGGGAAATTGAGATAAATTTATATTAAGAAAAAAAAACCCAGAAAGCTATGAGGTGGGAATCTTTATAGAAACCAAATAAAGAAGAAAATGAAAGGTGGTTTGTTTTGAGCTACTACTCTTCACTATGTAGCCAAGGCTGGCTTAGAACTCACTGAGTTGTCCAAATTGGTGACTGCCCTACCTCAGACTCCTAAGTGATGGAATATAGGTATGTACTACCATGTATGGCTCTAACTTCTGAAATGCTATTTTCACAACATGGAATATCATCCAGTGAGTGAGTGAAATATACACTCCTTCCACCCACTGAAATACTATATGGTATACAGAGCCACCCAGCACCTGTGCTGCTGCCACAGTACCTCAAATTAGCTAGAACTGTAAAATCCTCATCCTTTTACTTTCAACCTGTGACTTCTTTTTTTCCTTTGTGTGTGTGGTAAACGGAGCTTGCACCTAGGGCAATGAGCATTCTACAGAAGTGTACAATGTGCCTCTTGAAGACAGTATATGTGTGGCATTCTTATCAACTTGCCAAATCATTGCTTTTTAATTGGCATGTAAGTTTACTTATGTTTATTATAGTTTTTGAAATGAGCAGATTTAGATTTCTACTTTTTTTGGTCAATATGCTATGGTTTCTTTATTCTTTCTTAGTTTCTTTCAGATTAACTTAATGCTTAGTATTTGTTTAATTTCTCTATGCCCTTATTTTTAAGTTAAAAAAAATCTTTATTTTGGAATAACTTTGGGTACAGAAAGTTGCCATATATCCCCTTCAATCCAGCTACCCTTCATATTAGTAGCTTCAACAACTACAACAGAATTATCAAACCTAAGAAATTAATATTACATAATAATTTTATTCAGACTTTTCTATTTTTTTCTTTAGCCTTTTTTTATTCTAGGATACAACCCAGGATACAACACTGCATTTTGTTTCCATGTTTCTTAGTGTTCTCTTATGAGTATCAAGTTTTCAATCTTCCCTTTCTTTCATGAACCTTTATGCTTCTGTAGCATGTTAATTAGCTAGCCTGAATTTTTAGTTTTTCTGATGCTTTCTTATTGCTGAAATTACACATTTTTTGGATGGAGTCATATACAGTATTAATCTGTTTATTAGTTCAATTTCCTTTAAAAAACAATTACTGCATGTATTTAGACAAATTATAAATGAGTGAAACAGTGGTTTACTACTCTAAGTATTTACAAAGTTATTGTGGAAACCTGAGTTTATGTGTATGATTCATCTCAAGTGAAGTGATGAGCATTCATTTGTTAGGATACTAAATAAAGGTTTCCTAGCTTAGGAATGGAGTAGGAAATTTTTATTTTAGCTCTTAGAATTAAATTTAAAGTTTAAAATCACAAAATGTAAAAGACATCATTTTGTAGGTTGTCTTTATTTGGATGCTACAAAGTTGTACCAAATTTTCATAGATTTAATTAGATGCTAATAGATCAGTATGAAATTTAGAAGGAAGGAAAATATTTAATCTATTGCAATTCATGGCAATAGCTACCCTAAACAGTCAGAAAAAAAGGGGACAGGGGAGAATGATTATTTTTAGGGTTCTTGAAGGCAAGAATTCTGTTTAGTGCCTTATAAGTTATGTAAAGCACTTATTAAGTGTCTCTAAACATAATGTTTTAAAATATTTTTATTTATTAAACAGGATTTTCCAGACTACCTTCTTTTAATAACTCTACTAGATTGTGGTCACTGATTGTCTTTATCCCAAGTATCTTTTTAGAGCATTTAATACTCATTGTTACCTATGTTATCTTTTACATAGCGTTTTATAAATATTTAGCTGTAGACTTTGTCTTCTTCATAGGTTGAGGGTAAAAACTGTTTATTTCTTTCACAAAGTAGTTAACACAATATAGCCACACATGGAAGCACTCAAGATGTCTTTATCATATAAAGAGTTAAGGCTTTTATCATCTATACATGAGAAATTTAGGTGGAAAGGTATTTGTCCCCAATAAATGAACAAGACAGAAAATTTCAGCTTGGAGCAAAATAAATACTTTCTCAGTAATTCTCTCAAAAACACTTCCTCGGAAGTGGCGCTGTGGCTCCAGTGGCAGAGCGCTCGCCTTGAGCTGAAGAGCGCAGGGATATTGCCCAAGCCCAGAGTTCAAGCCCCATGACCGACAAAAAAAAACATTTCCTTAAAATGGTGGCTTTTTAGATGGCAAATGTTCTTTCCTTAAGACAAACTATAATTTTCAATGTACTGAAAAAAATCACTCAATCTTCAAAGATTATGTTACACCTTAACATATGGATGTATGCCTAATATGAATAAAAATAAAATTATAACAATATTGATACTGAATATCACTTATCTTTGTTAATAACAAAGTATACTGAATTTATAGCCAATATGCCACCTGACATGTACAGCTTGACCATGTTGTGCCACTCAATGTACATCCTTAAAGCTAGATACTTAAAAAGCTACTCACAAAATAAACCATGTTTTTACAATCAGATATAGTTACATTTGGGCACTTTGAGGAAAATGAGTATCCTTCCACAGTTAGTGCCTAAGCAAGGGAGTAGAAGTAAAACTGAAACATGAAAGTTTAAGTTTTATTGTAACCAAGATTCCTGATGGGTAAGATTAGAGAGTTGATGATTAACCTCCACCAGATGAGTTAGCAAATGAAAAAAAAAATTCTGAATACAATATTTTGAGAAAGGGGGATAATTTCAAATTTTACATACTCATTTTTTTCTTCCAAGCTCTATACACTATTAATGAAGAATTTAGGTTTTTGGCTGATCACGGTTTGTTAATAACTGCTTTTTTTGAGGAATAGACTTAGGGGGAAAAGAAAATCCAAAACTCAAGAATTCTCCAATGGCAATGAAATTATAAGTGATCCATCATTCAAATGCTGTGAAACAGGTTTGAGATTATTTTGATGGTGGTGATGAGAGGTGATGTTTTAAGTTATTATATAAAATCATAGATATATAAGATTTGCTATTTTGTTATCATATAGGCAAAGTATTTCTATTACAATCTGCAGGAATATAGTCTTCAACTTCATATTGAATTGATTTGTGTATACTGGTAAGTAAACCTTCAGCCTGATTAGGAAAGTAAGATATATTTTAAATTCCTAGAGTTTAGTGTCTGCATGTAACACACAACTATTATATAAATTTGTTAGATTTAACTGCCAATTTATGCAGAAGTTACAATTTTCCCAACTTTTAGCAAGTAAGAACAAAGGATAGTATCTTATAAGATAAACTGTGCAGCTTCCTTGCTTGTGACCAATGTGATGTATGTACCACATAGATGTATATGTGTTTGAAGAGGTAAGAGTAAAGATAAAGAGTAGGTAAGAGAATTTATTAATATTAAGGAAAACATCCTTGGTCAGTATACAGTTCCTTGTTCTGTCACTGTTTCAGCAATATTTCAAACACACAATGTTTTTCATGTTGCACGCTGAGTTACCTGACCAAAACTGAATTTCTCTGCTTCTGAAAAATCACTGTGTTTTAATTCATTCTGTTCAACAGGGCTTACCAAGAAACCTCCCAAATAAAGGCAGGCATAGATGAAGAAAAGCTATTAGATGAAAAAAAATGTAGATACCGACACAATCTAATCTACCTGTACATTTATACTCACCAGAATAGTTGATCCCACTGCCTGCAGTAAATGGAACAATAGAAGTAGTTTTAACTTTTATCGCATATTTTGAAGTTTACTCAAGATTCAGGCACATTATGAAAACATGAGATACTTAGCAATTATATAATAATTTTAACTACTGAAATTTGTCCAATTGCTAAATAAGGAAATTTAAGGAGCAGACTATTTTAAATTAGAAATTGATATGTTGTCATTAAGAAGACAGCTAAAGAAACACAAAGACAATTACGGTCTTTTAAAATTCTAGAGAAAAACAAATATAAAATATTAAAAAATTGTACTTTTAATAGAATTGGTAAGCTCAAATTATTATTATTTTTTCTGATTTTAAGTTAAAAAATCCCCCCCCCCCCCGCCCCTTCTCCGGTCCTAGAGCTTGAACTGTGGGCCTAGCCACTGACCCTGACCTTTTTTTTTTTTGGGTCCGGTCGTGGAGCCTGAACTCTGGGCCTGGGCGCTGTCCCTCAGCTCTTCAGCTCAAGGCTAGCACTCTACCACTTGAGCCACAGCGCCACTTTTTTCTTTTTGCTTATGTGGTGCTGAGGAATCGAACCCAGGGCCTCAGGCATGCAAGGCAATCGCTCTACCACTGAGCCACCTTCCCAGCCCCATGACCCTGACCTTTTATTACTTAAAGTTAGCACTCCACTACTTAAGCTTCATATAGCTCTACTTCTGTTTTTTTTTTTTTTTTTTGTGGTTAATTGCAGATAGGAGTCTCATGGACTTTTGCTGCTGGCTGGCTTCGAACTGTGAACCTCAGATCTCAGCCTCCTAAGTAGCTAGGATTACAGTTGTGAGCCACTGGTGCCTGGCGAAACTTTTGGGGTAATTAAAAAACTCTAGAAAAAAATTAATTCAAGGAATATAACACAACCATTTGTCTATTTATAGTAAATTGTGTTAGCAATGGAACATTCATATTAATAAATACTTAAAGTTTAGAAATTCATAGTTTAAATTCAGAATAAAAACTAAGTATTTAAAAAAATCAGATTCAGAGATGGGTGTGTGGCTCAATGGCAGGGAGGTATAATTTTCCAGGACCTCAATAAAAATCAGATTTTATAAATTTTAACAGAGTTCAAAATTTTTTTTAAAATCAAACTTACCAACGACTCTAAACTTTACAAATATTTTGCTTGTTTACAGAATATATAAATGCATTAACCTGTCTTACCATCTTTTCCATCTATGGATTTTGACACTTCAATATCAAAATTTTCCTGCATCTGGTGACCCCTAAAGCAGTTGAGATGTTCTTGCTCAATTAAATTACTTTCTTCTTCTTCTAGAGGCTGCCAAGTCCCATCAATAAACCACTGTCCACGCATCACTGGTATTTTATCAGACTCTGAAAAGAAAATAACAAAATTTTATATCTGGAATTCAATTTCTCAAAAGGAGACATAGTAGCTACTGCTCTCTCCCAAACACTTTCATGACCTGATACCATCTAAAGTGTTAAAATACAAAGTTCAAGCCTATATATATACATATTTAAACAAAAGCTAAATAAAAAATTGTTATTGTAAAGGTGATATGCAGAGGGGTTACTGTTTAGGTATATCTTTTTTTTTTGTAGCAAAAATATTTACTTGAGATCCTAAATAATGCAAATTAGGAGGCTAAAGGGGATAAGACAGATTTCATGTAGGGCTTTGTTGGCAGTTACAAAGTCTTAGCAAATACTAAAATCACATCCCAAAGGTAGTGTGTAGAAATTGTAGCACAGAAGTATTCTACACTCTTTAAGGCTTGGAGTTCATAAATTCTTAGCTAATACGCAGAAATAAATGAAACAATTATGGTAAATTCCTTATCTTTTAGAATAAAAAGTTGAAAGATTTTCTTGAATAACAACATTCCTTTAACTAATCATAGCTCCTGGAAGCCTGTAACATGCTTAAAAACGTTTTTAAAGAAAGCAAAAGTAAATGATAAATAAAATCTTGAAAGTAAAAATGAGATAAAAATAACACCTGAAAGTGAAAGCAAAATGAAATGGAGGAACTTAGCTATCTAAGGAGCTGGTGATTAACTACATAAAAGTGAATTTGAGGCTTACCTGGGCCATTAAGACCTTGTCTCAAAAACCCAGAGATAGCCAGAGAAACCCAGGGGCCAGGTGCCTCATGCTTACAATCCTAGCTAGTCAGGAGGCTGAGATCTGAGGATCATGGTTTGCAGCCAGCCAGGGCAGGAAACCCCATGAGTAATTATTGCCAATAAACTTCTCAAAAAACTGGAAGTGGTACTGTGGCTCAAGTAGGGCATTCACCTTGAGCAAAAGCAGCTCAGGGACAACGCCCAAGACCAGAGTTCAAGCCCTAGGACAAGCAAAACAAACAAGCAAAACCCAAAGATACACTGGGTGCCAGTGGCTCATGCATGTAATCCTACTCAGGGGGTTGAGATTTCAGGATTGTGGTTCAAAGGCAGCCTGGGCAGGAAAGTCTGTGAGACATTTCACCTCCAAAAAAGCCGGAAGTGGTGCTGTGGCACCACAGGATATCACCCAGGCCCAGAGTTCAAGCCCAAGAACTGGCAACCTGCTCCCCACAGAGGCACAGATTTCAGTGTACAGCCTCTGTAATCATACATTTCCATTAGAAATGTCAATATGAATGATGCATTTTAACAAAGACCAAGTCAATATGAGTACTCTGAATATAAAGACTGTAATATCTAAATATTTCCCATAAGGAACCCAAGAATCCTTGAAGAAAGGGCTAATTCCAGTTCTGGGACAGGAAATATATTAGTTAACACCCTCCTATTAAATCTGAACTATGATGTATATATTGAAAGTTTCCTATTGTGTATTTCTATTGCTTCTTGCATTGTCCTATAGTCTGCTTTGGCAATTCTGCTATAATTTAGGTGTTCAATGTGTTCACACTCTTAAGAATACTGAGAATTATGACTGTCAAAATTATAAGTTCACTTGTTGTGTTTAAAGCCTTTTTTCCTGGATTCTACTTGTCTATTGAGATTGCAACCTCTGATTTCTTATTCTTTCCATTTGCCTATGATATCTTTGCATGTTACTTTAGTCTTAACCTTTGAAATCACTGTTTTAGATATGTTTGCATACAGTATATAAATGGATTTTGCTTTATGTAACAATTTGAAAATCTTTCCTTGTGAATAAATGCAATGTTTATTGATATGGCTGAAGTTTGAATGCAGTTATAATTGCTATGCTTATTATTAATATTTTTCTTCTAGTATTTTTGCTTGTCCATTTTAAATGGCATCCTTTGACTTTCTTTTACTACCTGTTTAATTGCCAATTATTATATTAATATATTTATATTTTAGCTTTGTTGGAATATATAACAGTCACACCATGTTCCAGTTTGCACTCAGGGCCTCGTACTTGCTAGCTAGGCAAACACTCTATTGCTTAAACCTAAGCTTCATCCCTATCCCTCCCTCATCCTTATTTGCTTTAGTTACTTTTCAGACAGGGTCTCATATTTTTTGCCTGGTTCAAACCATGTCTTCCTATTCCTACCTCCCAAGCATCTGGGATTATGGGGATGAGTCACAGCATCAGGTATAATACAGCTTTCTTTGAGAATAATTTCCTTTCCAAAAGTAAAACTATATTCTACTTATGCTTTCTGCATTTTCTTTTCTTTTTAAATAATTTTTATTATCTTTAAGTAGTTGTACAAAGGATTTGCCATTTAACAAAGCAGTTTATGAACACAATATATTTTGATCAAAGTCACCCCTTTCAACATTCTCATCCATTCCCTTCCCTCACTCTTCTAATGTCTATGATACGCAACATATTTACCTATTATTGTACAATACTAATATACTCTACCTATAAACCTACTTACTAAAATGCCTAGCTTTGTAGTTCCTGATTCTATATTTATATAATATATAAAACAGTCTTTACAATATCTACCATTTATACTGCTATAATCTGTACAAACTACAAATTCTTTAGCATCACAAGACAATGTCAGATTTTCAACAATTCAGTGACTGCTGCCACTCTTTTCAATTTAAATCCTAACAGGAATGGTCTTGCTTGTCCCTAGGGACTTTACTTCACTCCTAAGGGTAGTTACATCTACTTGTATCTGCCATTTGTGTGTGTGTTTATTGTTGTTACTAGAGCTTGAGCTCAGGCCCTCATGGTCTCACTCAGCTTTTGGTTCATGGCTGGCACTCTACCACTTGAGTAAGTCCTCCAGTCCTATGTGTGTATTCTTTACAGTTCTCCTTGCTCTATTATTCTCTTTTGTTAAGTCTTTTAAGTTGTTTCTGGTAAAATTAGTGTCAATCTATTTATCTTTTCTTTGTGGTTTCCAACCCTGGTAGAATAGCAGATTCATTTGAGGAATTAAAAGAGATTTTCATATTCCCTCTTATACAACTGTCTCTGAAGACAGGATCCAGAAATATGTATTTTTAAAGTTACAAATAAGAAGTAAAATACTCATCAGGTGATCACTGGTTCCCAACCAGTTTAAATTATTTACGAAGTTGATCATTCATCAAAGCTAAAAATACTGAGCATACTATCATATATATTCACAAATTATATGTGTAGTAGTCAGGTTTTATTCATTAAAAACACATATGAAAACAGATAAACTGAAAGTCCCAAACTGAAAGTAAATATAAATTCAAATATTTCCATTGTAACACTTCCAAAAGCAGTGCTTACACATTCTATTTTGTTTTTCAGTGCTTTACATTATATAGAATCTTTGTGTCTGGAATTGTAGCAGCTTTTTTTTGAACTCTAGACTTACATGCCCAACTGCCCAGTGAATACTTCCACATGGCTGTGCAGCAGACAATTAAATACAATATGCCAAAATTACCCCAAGCATCATTGGGTAGAAGACCTATCCCCTCCACAATCCAACAAGGTAAAAAACAACAACAACAAAATTTAATTCTGTGAGAATCATCAGCATTAAAATTCAGGAAAAACTTCAATCCCTATCTGTTTCTGTTTTGGTCAGTCATGGGGCTTAAACTCAGGGCCTGGGCGCTGTCGCTGAGCTCTTTTTGCTCAAGGCTAGTGCTCTGCCACTTTGAGCCACAGTACCACTTTCAGTGATCTGGTGGTTAACTGGAGATTTAAGTGTCTCACATACTTTCCTGCCTGGACTATTTTTGAACCATGATCCTCAGATTTCAGCCTCCTGAGTACCTAGGATTATAGGCATGAGCCGCTGGTGCCTGGCTTGGTTTTTTTTGGGGGGGAGGGGGGGTAAGGGGAGGAGGCAGGGCTTAAGCTCTGGGCCTGGGTGCTGTGCCTGAGCTCTTCAGCTCAAGTTGAGTGCTCTACCACTTGAGCCACAACACCACTTCCAGTTTTCTGGTGGTTAACTGAAGGGAGATAAAAGAATCTCACGGATTTTTCTGCCTAGGCTGGCTTTGATCCATGATCCTCAGATCTCAGCTTTTTGAATAGCTAGGATTACAGGTGTTGAGCCACCAGCACCCAGCTGTCTGTCTAGGCTTTTTTTTTTTTTTCTCTCCAAGTTATTTTTTTTTTCTAACTCTCTTCTACTTTATTTCCAATGTTCCTGTCAAACAGAACTTCTTCCTGCCCTTAAACACACCATTCATTCTTTCTGCCTGTACTGTCCCTTAAGACTCAAGCCTGCTTCTCTGAAGAGCTTTTGATGAGGTAGGGTGATATCACTCCCTTCCTTTGCCTAGTAGACAACAGATAAATATGGTGAATTAATTAGTTTTATGTTTAACTGAAACAAAACACTCACCGTACAAGAGAATAATATTTAGGAAGATGTCAGATGAATGTCAAATTGCCAAAATAATTAATTTTCAGAAGAATTAATTACAAATGAAACAATAATCTCAATTTAAGTTGGAAAGTGGGTAGAATTCAAAAGAAAAACTAAAATGAAAAACTGGGGGGGGGGGGGGGGGGGAGCGGTACTGAGGTTTGAACTTATTCCTGTCCTAGCTAGGCAACTAAGCACATCACCACTTCAACCCTGTTTCCAAGTTCATTATACTTCACAGGTTTTTTTTGTTTTGTTTTGTTTTTAAATAAGATTTCATGGTTTTGCTTGGGCTGACTTTAGACCATAATCTTCCTATTTACTCCTTTCCAACAGCTGGGATTACATACATGTGCAACCACAACTGGCTTGTTTTTAAAGTAAGATTCTTGCTAACTTTTGGCCAGGGCTGGCTTTGAACCAAGATTCTCCTGGCTGGGATTATAAATGCATACCTCTATGCCCTGCCCTTAAAATACGTATTTTTTCCTCTGTCAGTCCTGGGACTGAGGTCGGGGTTGGGTGCTAGCGGTCGCTGAGCTTTCCTGTTCAGGTCTTGAGCCAC